GAACAGCCAGGAGCTAAGTTGAAAATTAAATTTCTTTTTGCCTTAGCGCTTTCTAGTTTGGTGGTTCGCCCTGCATGCGCAGGCTCAACACACCAACCATGTTATAATTACCGCTAGAGTGATCGATCGGCCACAAAAGCATTGTCTATGATCTCTATGATGTATCATATCAAGCACATATAGGTACATGTACGTACATGTACTCACAAACTGAATAGTTATTTTCCTTAAAAAAGACGCACTTTCACGCATCTCATTCATACGTTATAATTATGGGAATAAGCATCATCAAATGTCACTCATATTACTTGTTAACTAGTGTTGGGCCTCATACATGCGCATATGCGCATACACTAAGTTCTCTCCAAGCCAGTGAGAAGTAAGGAGCAGTTTATTAGCCGATGTTCAAGGCTTTGCACTGCCTAGAATAAGGCACATCGGCTCTTAGGGATATGTGGCTGTAAAGTACTCTACATATGTATGCATCTATGCGCATGCAGAGTTAGCGCTGTAAGCCCCGTGAGAATGATGCTCGCGCTTGACACTAGTGACGAATTACAGACATGTACATGTACTTGCATGTTCGATCACATTGATGTACATGTGTACATACAAGTATCTAAGCAATCTTTTTTTCTTTTTGATGGCCATATCTCAGGTTCCATATGAGCAGTTCATCGCAGCTGTTAACATGCTATATATCACCAATTCTATAAAGTAAGTACAAGCTGTGACTTACCCTCCATGCTACGTTTGTTTTTGGATGTTTAAGCAATATGTGGTCTTAGAATAATAATCCTGAGTGCAATCTTACCAGCTCGCCAGTTAATTCTAGGTTTCAATCCGAACTTGCGTCGAGAGCATCAATGAGATTACCTTCCTTCCTTCCTTCCTTCCTTCCTAGCTAGGCCTGTCTCACCTTTAATCCCCACCTTTCACCACTCTTGGTACCTACCGCGCAGGTAGTGGGATGTTGCTTTTCGATTTGGTAGAGGAGGAGTCTCATGTCCAACTAGAGGGGCTTAGAAAGCTTTGTGTTAACCAAATTTTGCTCACCCCCTGCGTTTAATCACCTCATTTGTTGACTTCGCCCTCGATGCGGGTTCGCATTTTCCTTTCTTTGCTTTCTCCACTCCTTGCCGCCTATTCTACCTACCAACAAGAAATATAGAGTCACGATTCTCATACGTCTACCTAGAATCTCTAACGGTACTAAGCTTGAAGCAGAAGGCTCGGCAGATAGAAGTATTGATTAGAAGCCTCGGCTCTCTTTCTCATTCATTGACTTGGTTGACATCGAGCTACAGGGTCAACTTCTACGGGAACAAGCCTCGGCCTCGCTCACCTCCGACACAACCGGATCATTCTAGATCTCCCTCTTCGTCCACTCTACCTTTTTGTTTTCTATCAGCTCGTCCTGGATCGCAAATTTTCCTTGGGACCAGAGTATACTTGAAGTTCCCTAGGCTCCAATCTTCAAGTTTACTCGGAGCGTTGGCCTTTCGGAACACGTACACCTTAGTTCATCGATCGCGACCGGTTCACGGCTTTGCACGCACGAAAGACTTTGCACATACGAAAGAAGATATTCTAGTCTCCTCTATCGCCCTTCATCATAGATAGACGTACTTCGTTTTTTTTGAGTTTCACACTCTTGTATGCATGATGCCTGTGTATAGCTCCTGGTCAGAGGTCATCAGATTTAACCAAAGTGGCCATTTTTAACCCCCTCCTCCACCACGAACTCTGAAGGCGGCAACATGAGGCTTCGTATAATATAGGTTTCTCAATAGGGAGAATAACTCCATAATCTTATATACCGAAAATATCGATTTTCACAGAATTTTGTGGGTGAACTAGAACGTCAAGTTTGTATCGCCATATGGGTTCTTGGCCAAAATCACGAATCCTTCTCGTACTAAGCCACGTAGCTCCTTCAATAACTGTCGCGCCGCTATCAAATTTACAACGCTGGGCACTTATAAATACATCTACTTGTCCCTATAACACCAGACGTTTATGGTGTTAATGCGTCGTGGGCAAAAGCCACGTTTTGGTTGCTTCTGGCTCGAACCCGATCATTCATGTCACCGCATTGTATCTACAGCTACATGTTAGAGTGCAGGTGCACTCGAAATCGAAGTCGATTAAGTCTAAGATACCCCTTTTCAACTTACGTAGTAATTACTAGTCGTGATCAAGAAGTGCTGCAATTTCTAAGGCCAGTTCATCTACCTATTTCCTCTCATTTGACTTCTTTTCCTCTTTGACTAGAACACAAAAGGATTCATTCAACTTCTTGTCGGTCGCAATATTTACCGCCTTTTACTATCTGCGTCCCTTAAATCGATGCTTGCGCTGAGCACTCGCACGAGATCCTAGGCGCGGTGAATGACATTAGTCGGCTGGTTTTGTTACACTAGGCCACAACATGTCTAGCACGGGCGTTTATCCTTGAGTGTTAGGGCTACTTCGGGTATCGCGGTATGCTCGATAGCTAGACGTTCTTGGCGCGCGCGACCTGTACCGCGATCCCCGAGACAGCAGACGGGATGGAATCACAAAACCAAGCGCGAATTGCATTGTCGGAGGAGAATTTGATTCGCATTGGGTCTGATATATTGCTTTTATCATCTGCTATCATGTCTTATTTTGTTTGTAGTAATCTCTCTCAGATGTTTTTTTCTGGTGTTCTTGATCGTTGACTGCTGGGCCACATGAATACTTCTGTCGACGACGGGAATTGGGAGGAGTATCATACATCATCGAACCACCGGGATATAATAAGCATTATTTTACAAGAGGTATTTGGAGAAAAAATTGGACGGCTTTTGCGTTTCAGTTTTTGCTTTGTTTTCTCAAATGCCTTTTGGGCCGAGACTCAAACAGTGCAACTGGCCACAGAACGCAGCCACTGGCAAGGCAAATTTGTTAGTTATAATACAGCGAAAGCTTGCTATAACGGTACGCTCGGGACTGGAATTTGGTACCGTTATAGAGAGATTACCCTTATATAAGAGGTGATTGTGCTGAAATCCGGGCAAAAAGGACCGAGAAGTACTACCGTTATAGAGAGATTACCCTTATAGAAGGTACCGTTATAGCAAGCTTTCGCTGTATTGACATGCTAAGTCAATGTTTTAACGGTAAAAGACTACAATACTATAGACCTCTTTGATATATATCTAGGATACCATAAATTATGCCAACAAGGACCTAGGTTTCATGGCCAAAACTGTGAAACAAAATGAAAAAAGAAGTTCTACTTTGGGGTGTTCTTTCTCTAACCTTCTGCCATTTTTTTACCCCACCTTTGGGGGCTGTATTCAAGGAGGAAGGTTGACTGCTGCTAGCCGTAGAAACCGCCTAATGTACCCACTAAAATACCAGTTAAAAATCATAGAGCTTTCCAAATGACCTTGACAGATGTAGATCATTGAATTTACAGCTGATTTTATTTTTTATTTTTTTATTGATAGTGAAGTGGTGAGATCTTTAATGCATGCTCCATTTGCCAATAACCCGTTCAATAATGTTACACAGTTGACCGTAGAATCTACGGTGATATTTTCACTGCTTATACTGTATGGAAGACCGTAGACTCTACAGTGCTCTTTCTGTTGCTTGTGTTACACAGTTCACCGTAGAGTCTACAGTGCTCCTCCCAATACTTATACTGTATTGGACACCGTAGACTCTACGGTATTATTTTCATCGATAGCACTATGTGGAAGACCGTAGTCACTACGGTCTGGAATTAGTTGGAGTGAGTTAGTTAGGATAAGTTTAGGTTAGTTAGAGTTAGATCTTTGTTACATGTGCTGGTTGCCATACATATCATTCTAGATATATATGACAAAAAAACCGCAGAATTGTAGTCTTTTACAAATATTTTAATCAAGGGTAGCAAAGCCACGAAAACTTATTTACACAAATATATTTAGGTTCGGATCATATCATGTCATCCCATCTATAATCAACGTCTGCTAAGTCGTCTGTTGGAAGATGGTCGTATCTACTTAACCATGGTGTAGTGCATGAGATGATATGTAGACACTTCTTTTGAGTACGTACCGCCCTCATGATCAGCCAATGCATCATCCTTTCGTCTTGTTATATTTATCGATTTCTATCACCTCCGGCCGGCCGCAGCACCGTTGAGGTCGGTACATGTAGTGAGCAAAGAAAAGAAATTCGCATGTATTAATTAATTACTTGTTAATGTTATTGTTACTTTCTTAGACTAACCAGTTTTAGTGATGCTTCAATACATGTAGATTCCATGCTATCTGGACCAAACCATGGCCAGAAAACCCACGATCACGCTTACCAATTTACCAGTTAGCCGCGAAACGAGTGATTGTCCATGACGCGGCACACTGGATCCATATTCCCGTTTCTATGCAAACGCTAACTTAATGCGCATAAAAAATTTCAAATTTACATAAAACGCTCATGATGTAATGGTTCTGTAGTGTAATGGTTAGCACCCAAGATTCTGATTCTTGTAATCCCGGTTCGACTCCGGGCAGGACCTTTTGACTTATTTTGACTTGCCCGTACGTATCCTTTGCCGCACTTGTCGAGGGCGAGGAGTCTTTTTTGCACGAATATAAATAATATATTTGATGCCCGCTCTCTCGTCGAACATTGAACGGGATAATGTGTGAGCTTTCTCCTCTCAATTTTCCTAGTTCAGTCCAGCGAATATATATGAGTCCTCAGTGGCTCTTCATTCCAACGGCAGATCAGAAGGGCGCGGGCTCGACCTTGAAATATGAATTCAAGAAGAAACAATTTATATCTCTTACTAAATTGCTTCAAGTGGCAGGCCAAATTCACCACTTGAAAATTACCAATTTCAAGAACCAACCCAACCAGATCGTATAAATGCGCTTCTCCATCACACCAAAAGAGACCCCATCACACACAGCAAAGCAACTCTTACCACAAAAACAACTTACCACAATACAAAGCACTAATCCACAATTCCACCAAAAATGATTGACCACACCATCCCCAGCCCAGCAGCCACCTTCCGGTCCGCAGTAGCCTACATCGTCCGCAACTTTGTCCCACGGCAGCCCTCCAGAGCCGCTGGGCTGGCTGGTCATCTGAGGCGCGCTGATGGGGGGATGTTATTGCATAAGCGGCTTTCGGAAGCTACCCGCGTGCTTACTCCCTGGAGGCAGATCATGGTTATGATGAAGATTATGGAGCTTGCGAAGAGGCTGCATGATCATGAGTTTATGGTGTGGGAGTACAAGTGGATAATTGATAAGCAAGAGGGGATCCTTATGGGGATCATTCTAAGCGGGTTGGAGGGTGATGCGAAGCATGGCCCCGGGCGCGTGGTGGAGCGTCCACAGGTGGATGAGGATGCTGTGGCGCGGGCTACTGTCTTCTTCAATAATAGGGGGGAGAGGATTGCTGCTGCGACTGAGGAGATGAAGGAGGTTATACTTCAGAGTTCTAGGGTTGCTCCAGAGGTCTCGACTGATGCAGCGCTTGTGGAAGAGACGTATGCTATTCTAGGGGGCGATGGGAATAAAACACTCGGTGGGTTGGGGGTCTTTCAAGAGACAGTGGCGATGAATCCGTGCTTTTTTCAGTTGGTCAGGATAGCAACGGTTACTTGTATTAAGAATTGGTACCCATTGTAGTTGCAGAGCCACACATTGATGCCAGCGAGGAGGAGGATAACAGGTAGGCGTAAGTAAGGTTTTTAGATCAATGCGGTAAGTATGGTCGATGCTGGCGGGGATCAGAGCATTTGTTTGGCAGTATTGAAATTTAGATGAGTGTTTGGCAGGTAGTTATGGTAGTGCAAAGCACTACCAAAGATGATGTTTTCGATAGAAAAATAAAATCGAGGAGCGAGCCGAATGGCTTGGTCCTCATACAAAATCGAAGCTAGATTAACTGTCCTCCCATTGAAGAACATATCTCTCATGAAAGCTTGACATCCGGACCCGGATCAAATGATCCACGGGGTGAAATTTACCAAGTGCTTGACGTATTCCGGTAAAGATAGTTAGAAAGTAACTACCTATCCCGATCACCTGATAGATGGAGGAGTGATTCGAGGGTTAGTAATTAGCTCTAGGATCGAAACTTGTCTTCTTTGTCAAAGAGTTTCGCTTTGTTTCTGTAGATCTGGATGCTGTCGGGATTAAAATGCTTATGCTCTATTCGCAAGGAAGCTGGGAGTACGATGAGTGCTTCTAATATCCGTACATACCTACTCGTGCCTGAGGAATTGCGGGCAGCATTGCCGGCGGCCCAACCTTCTACTAGAGAGAAAATGAAAAAAAAGGGTGGTCAGCCATTGTTATTTCCCTGACCATGACCATGTGCTTTTCAGGATATCGCAAACTAGTCCCTTCTAGCAATGTTCATAGTTTCTCACTCGGCGCCCAACACCTCCTATAGGCCAAGTAACGAAACTTATTATCCTGATGGCGCAACCATGCACGCAACTTCGAAAGGGCTTTCTGTAGCACAGAAAGTCATTACGTCACTACCAGATATTAAGCTCCGAACCCCCCATTCACGTCCAGGATGCTTGAGCGGTACATACCGCTGACTTTACTCCTGAATCTCAAAATTTTCCAGCTCCCTGTCCATGGCTCAAGGGTATCAAAAAATGACAGCTAGAGCTGTGCAGATCTAGAGCTCAACTCAATAATCCTCCTCCTCTCTGCGGCCCAACAACCTCTTCCCCGTTGCATGTCTTCAGGCACCCTGCCCAGCGAAGATCACGGGAGTACGGGAATTTTAACCTACTAGCCCATCTGTCCGCCAGTGGTTTGCGGAGATTTGTTACAGAAGTGACAGCGATCGGCGCATCATTGTGGGGTAATCAACCGCACCCCCACTTCCCCCTGCCAAAAGTGTGTGATCCATGGTTACTCTGTCGGAACCTTTTGACGGTTGTTCCGGTAAATGCTTATTTCGCTCTTGCTCTTTCCTCTTTCTGTTTTTTGGGGGGGTCGTGTGGGCCGGTTGTGGTCTCCGTGGTATAGCGTCTATATGGGTGCTTACCTGGTTTTTATTGTGTTCTGGATGATGGACTGGGTTTTGTTCTGGTGAGTAGAGTAGCTAGGTAATACATGTAAGTTTTATCTTAATTTTCACTCACTCACTCACGCCCGTGAGCATACGTTCTCCAATATGCCAGCAAGCCAGAATCAAAACCAAAATCAGTATAAATACCCACCATCTGCCTCACCAATGATCCGACCACTCACCCTCACCCATCATCACCATTCACCACAATGAAGTTCTCCACCCTCATTTCCACGTCCGCATTCCTCGTCGGGCAGGCCCTTGCCCACGGCGGTGTCACCACATACGTTATCGACGGCACCTCCTACCCCGGCTGGTCGCCCTACAACCCTGCCACCGGACAGTCCACAATACAGAGACAGTACAGCTCCTACGATCCTTTGTACTCGCCTACTGATGCCTTCCTCAAGTGTTCGTAAACATGTTCCTCTCAAACGACTTGTAGTGATTAACATTTTGGTTCATAGGCAACACTCCCGGAACTGGTCCAGCTGCTCTAGTCGCTACTGTTGCAGCCGGTGGTACCGTTGTTGCCAAATGGGCGCAATGGACCCACGCTGAAGGCCCTGTCTTGGTCGTAAGTAACTATTATCACCAATCAATGTATTCAATCCGCTGACGAGATGCGTGTGCACACACAGTACATGGCCAAAGTAGGAGACGCCTTTGCAGACTCTGACGGCGATGGACTAGAGTGGTTCAAGATCGACGAAGCAGGTCTCCTGTCAGGCACTGTCAATGCCGGATCCTGGGGTCTCGGGGAGATCCTGAAAAACTTGGAGTGGACCACCACCATTCCAGCAAACCTTGCTCCAGGGAACTACTTGATCAGGGTATGTATATATCTATTCGCGCACAGCTTCTTCTTCTTCTTCTTCTTCCTGGTGTACTGGAGACTAATGCATGGGACGGAAATCATAGCACGAGCTTATTGCGCTCCATCAAGCAAACACTCCTCAGTTCTATCCCGAGTGTGCTCAGCTCACCGTTACCGGCAGTGGAACGGGGGTGCCATCGGGAGACTACTTGACCTCGTTCCCGGGTGCTTATGCCGCGAGTGATCCTGGGTGAGTTTGCATCCCGTGATTCTTGTTGACGGAACGGAATACTAACGAGTACTGCCTTAGTATCACGATCGATATCTACTCATCGACCGCGACCACCTACACCATCCCTGGTCCGGCCAAGTGGACTGGTTAGATTGTCTAAGATTCATTGTTCATGGGACTCCTAGAATGTGTGTGGGACGATGTATTTGTGTATATGAAAAAACGAAAAGTTCAAAATTCTTTACCTTAGATTCCAGTAAAGCAGATATTACATTAGATTACTATTCATGTGAATAGAAGGTTGTATTGAACCCTGTGTCCAATCACGAGCTTGTTACGGATGTGTGTGTCGATACGTCGGCCAGAAGGACCGAAACTCGATATTAAAGATCGACCGGCCAGTTTCAAGTAGAACAGAGGTTGATTGTTCCGCATTGATGCTGTAGTCGAAAGGGGGTAGTGGTGGTGGTGGTGGTGGTGGTGGTGGTGGGATGGTTGTATAATTGATGACATCTCATGGCCGATCTGTGAACTGTGTTTTCTCAGTGTGCATGTGTCTGAATCCCCGGTTCGGCGCCCCGGGCGGATGTTCCCGAGGCCGATATTTAAACTTGGCGCTTACGACGCTTTGGGGGTATGCATAAATGGATGTGTCTAGCCTGATGTGGCCATGGTCCATCCAACCCTGAGCAGTGCGGCTCTTTCTCAATGCTGTCCGAGAGGTTCGAATGCTCCAGGACGGTACGAACTCTATAAACACAACTGCCCGAGATCAATTGATTACATGTACGTACGTGCACTTTGATTATATAATTAGCCAATGTGTCTGTGGGGGATCGAAGAAACACAGTGATCAAGAAGTTTTCACGCCTTGGTTAGGCGAGTCAAGTTTATTATTGAGTAGAGACGCCGCTCTCCTCCATGATCCACTACATGTATTTATACCTCTCTCTAAGCGTGCATTTCCGCTTGGCATCATCTCACAAAGCGTGTCCCAAGCGTGTTCTTGTTCTACCCAACACATGTTTCCTCCTGTCCTATACTCGAAGAAAATACCACAAGCTCACCCTTCAGACAACACGTAGGCCATCCACTACATACATACATGTATTTACCAGTGTACAAACAACCATTCCTCCTCTTCCAAATCCTCTCACGCCCTACTCTAACGAAATACAGTGGTGAGGGCCATATATGTAAATGACCCTGCGTTTCGCACAAAGCCTTGGATTATACTCGCGACAAATGGCAGCCCTCACAGCTGCTGATCCTCACCACCAGCAATTGCCAATTACCATGGCAGCACCAGCATAGGCAATGATCGGTCCCGTGCTGTTCCAAATCCAGTAATGAACCAGAGCAAGTCTCTCGGCGAATTTCTCGCCAAGGGCCAAGGGTACCAGCTTACCTTACCGGTTACCTTATCGCAAACAGCCTGTGCAGAAGAACAATTAACGAAGGACCTCCTGAGCGTCAATCAACGTCCCGAGATATCTAAAGACGCGGTTCGAGGCGAGGAAGCTCGAGAGGAGCTTTTCCAGGAAACCTATTTGTACTCCTTCTACCTAGAAGTACCCGCCTACTGGTCTAGGACATTCCCTTCCTTTTCTCTCCGCATCCCCTAGCCAGCTGCAGGTCTCCTAAAATGCAGATACCACTCGTTACCTCGCTGCCTCCGCGGCTGCTCTACATCATCGCCGCCTCCCTCCTGCTCATATGCCTCTTCAGTCTCTCGCACTTCGCAAAGTCCCAATACCCCCCACTGCTCCCCCAAGTGCAGCAAACACCAAACCACCCCGACTACGGGCAGCCGCCGGAGGACCCCAAGGGCTGGATCAAGCCCTCATTGCGCCCCTTTGACCCCGCCACGGACGGTGACAACCTTTTCTACAATTCGGAGGAATGCGATGCAAAGTTCCCCGGCCTCTTCACGGAGATCGATATTGCGAAGGCGCGCGGCGATATCGGCGAGATTCCGTTCCATGATGGCGACAAGGGATACGTGAAGGCGAGGATTTACCAGGGAAAGCTCTACATTGTCGCGAAAGGCGACGATGTCTGGCACGTATGTGGCTAGAACTAGCACCCTACCAAATAATCCTCTTTTTTGCTAACAATGGGAAAAAGCAAATAGCGCCAATTCGCAATCCTACATCAGATTCATCGCTCCCTTCTTACCGCCCCTAACCCATCCGAAATCCCCAATATCGAGTTCCAATTCCTCGTCAACGACCACCCGGCACCAAGCACGTGGTCGCTAGCATGGAGCGGCAACGAGGGCGAGGTCCAAGACACATGGATCATGCCCGACTACGGGTTCTGGTCCTGGCCCGAACCGCACATTGGGTCGTACGCCGAGGCGAAGGAGAAGATCGAGGGGGTTGACAAGCCGCTCAGCTGGGAGGACAAGGAGGGTCTTGCGGTATGGCGAGGAACGGTGCATTGGAATGGAGAGCTGCGTGGAAAGCTGCTGGAGGTGGCGAAAGGGAAGCCGTGGAGTGATGTGGCAGAGCTGGATTGGAAAACGAATGCGCTCAAGATTGAGGAGTTTTGCAAATACAAGTTCTTGATCTATACCGAGGTTTGTCTCTCCCTCCACCTGCCTAGGAGCTCGAGTGCTATAATGTGGATGATTCTAACACCGATATCCGTAAACAGGGCGTAACCTACTCTGGCCGCCTCCGCTACTTCCAACACTGCCGCAGCATCATCATCACCCCCCGTCTCGCCTGGCGCCAATACCAGTCCTTCCTCCTGCAATCCGAAGGGCCCGATCAAAACTACGTCGAAGTCGCCCCCGACTGGTCCGACCTCGAGGAGAAGGTACAGTACTACCTAGATCACCCCATCGAGGCGGAGCGGATCGCGAATAACACGGTGCGGCTGTTCCGCGACTGGTACTTGACGCCCGCGGGTGAGGTGTGCTATTGGAGGAAGCTGTTTCAGGGGTGGGCGAGTGCGGGAGGGGAAGTGGGCGAGTTGAAGCTGGAGGAGAGGGGCCGGAGTTGGGAGAGTTATGTGTTGATGGGGAAGCTGGATTGGGATGCGACTGCGTGATAGGGAGATGCTTGCTTGGGTGTGTGTATATTTCGTTTAGAATATTTTCTTCTTCTTTTTAGTTTGTAATATAGATTCTTTCTTGAAATAGATTCGTGCTACAAAAAATCAATTTCTTTGGTAAGCAATAGTTGCCTATATTGCGATTATGGTAGATTTCTTTAAATCTCGAGCACATCTGTCCCCCTCTAATATCAACACCCACTCTAAATTATCTGACTCTAGATCTGGCCTGTAGAAATACAGCAGAAATGCGGCTACGTGGAATCACTCGGACGAGTGACATCCTATGCAATCACCCACAATTCACACCACCGCAACCGCGAAAAATAAATACAGCTTCGCATAAACTCTCCAACTCGGCAAAGAATATATCTTTATGTTTTGTAGCCTGTACCAATTCATTCTAAGTTTATGTCTTGTTCATGACATATCACTCGTTTTCCCACATCACCGAGGTCTTAAGGCCATTTCAGTCCACCCCCAAACGGCCATTCCAAATCGGAATCACGGGATCATTTTAATCTTATATACTATGGTAATTATACTCCGCTCAACTCCGGTATTGTTTGTTCAGTTCTTGAGCGAGTACGGCTCTTTAGCCCGTGATAATTAACTCGATGAGTCCACGGGTTCAACCTGCTTGGAAATATTCCCATGCGAAATTCGAAAATTGCATAAAAGTATCATAAAGAGCTCTGTCCTGTGGTGCCCTGACCGGAATTAAGGTTGTGTGTATACTTGGTGGGTAAGTTGATCGTCAGTCAATCAGTCAATCAGTCAATCAGTCAATCAGTCAATCAGTCAATCAGTCAATCAGTCAATCAGTCAATCAGTCAATCAGTCAATCACTCAGCTGGTCGCTCAGTCAGTCAGCCAGTCGATCAATCGGCCAATTGATCGACTAGTCGCCCAGTCAGTTACCTTTAACCAGTCACCTATGATCAGCCAGTAAATCGATCGCGGTCGATTGATCAATCAGTCAATCAGTCAATCAATCAATCAATCAATCAATTCGTTAATTACAAGTAGCTAGTCGCACCTCCGGATCCAGCCAGACCAACCAAGCACCGACCGACTTCACGCCAACCCTCTCACACTAAAAGACTTCACTCCGCTGACCTACCGCCTCTACTCCCACAGGACCAATCAATCAATCAATCAACCAAAACCAAAAAATTCCCTCGACCCATTCACACACAATCACTCGCATTCCCCTCCCCCCCTTCCTTCCCAATCTGGTCACCCCACCCCCCCTTGGACTATCACCCTCGTTATACCGGAACCCCCAAACCGGCATGAAGACGCGGATCATCGCGGATCACTCGATTTACCATTCCTTTCCCGCTTCATAGACGAAAATGATTACAGCGATTCACAGGCATTTGGCGAATACACCCATTTGGCGAATTTGTATGTAGCAACCAGCCAGCAACCAGTCAAACTGCGAGTTTGACTAAGATATCCTGATTCTTATTGGCCGTGACCCCTGTTCGTCAAATGGGTGTATTCGCCAAATGCCTGTGAATCGCTGTACTTCTATATCGCCACCTACACACGGACAAGCACCAGACATCCGAGCATATGTCGGCATGAGGCCCTTGCCGAGTGCGAGTCAATAAGGCGCCGGTCGGTAAGTAGAGTTAGAGTGTAGGTAGGTACATGTAGATTGCCCGTTAGACGAGCTGTGCCGTGCGCTCTGAGGGACCCGACTCGATATCTGTGCGAGAGCCTGGATTACATATTAACATGTAGGGTATGATACGGATACGAGTACGGTGCGTGTGGCTTGCTGCTCTGGTCGTTTTGCACATATCGCGTGCATGTACTGACTGCTCTCGCCGGTTCGGTTCAGTTCAGTTCAATTCTTCAGGGGCATCAGGTACAGTTACACTTGATTTTGGCTTGGGCATCACGTATGGGTGCTCCACCCGGGAATGGATAAATTCTCGTAACTGGGCGTCTCGCGCAAACTACTGCAGGTACGCGAGCAAAGTGAAGGAAGCTTAACTCCAGCGATCGCAAAGTGCAGTGCAGTGCAGTGCACTCACACCTCAATTGCAACTGACCGCCAAACACTCAACTCCACGAATGCTTCCCCATTCCCCACGATGCTGTTTCCTCAGGAACAATCTCTGTACCACTACGCCCCCAACCTGTCCCCAAACCCACCGAAACCCCCACCCGTCAAAAACGTCCTTTATCGCGATAACAAGCGGTCGGGCGGCGCCGCAACCACAACCACCACAATCCACAATAACAAGCTCCACCTGATCACCCCGTCTCACCCCTTTTAATGATTGTGCCGCAATGTAAAAAACAAAAACACACACACAACCACAAACATACATAACAAGATCGGATCTCTCCAATTGTGCCGTGAGGGCGCAGTAGCTGACAACGTGTACCAATGGACTGAACCACGGGTGGATGAGCAAGGCTGGTATCTACGTAACTTGCTTACCTCATTGTCTGGGGGCCATATATCGACACTTCATACTTGGATTGTATTGCGCTGTATTACGGCCTGGCCATGGGTGGAGTGCAGTGCGAATACATGGCATATGTATGTCGGCCGTTTGTTTAAAGCACATCTTCAAATAACCTACCCGTCGGCGCGCGTGTACGTCTGCCACCCGTCGGGCGGGCCTGCATTTCGCACCTCCGATAATTCTACTCTTCTCTCCATTTGTAGAGTGTGTACTCACCGCTCCCCACGGCAACTGCCAGCATAGAGTCACCCAGAAAAAGAAACGCTTCCCCCCCGTAAAACTTCATTGGGTGTGCGCGCGCGGTAAGACACCTCACTCACCCACACTTGCTTGCAATTATAGCCGCCATCATTTTGGGGGGCATAGGTATGTTTTGTATTTCGGGAAGGACGACGATCCCTTTTTCTATGTATGGGCCGGCCGCACAACGGGAAAGTGCGAGAGAGGAGGGAGAGGGAGAGATTTAGGCAGGCAATCTTTAACGGTTGTCGATCAGTATCTTATTTTTGATGGTTGGTGGTGTTGGAGTCGGGATGGGCCCATGGTACCTAGGGAGGTCGGTCATAGTTGGCGTCATTTGTTTGGATTCAAGAATTGGTCGATATGTGTGTACGGCTCAGGCAGGTGATTTTGATTACATCCGAGTATTTTCCAGTTTAATTTCTGCGGAGAGGGGAACAAGAACAAGAAGGAGAAGAGCAATAGAAGGAGGGTCGGGACAAGAGCCAAAGAAGAAGAAGATGATGAAGAAGGATCGGAGATGCCGCCGAGACGCTAGAGACTTTGACTGTAGAATTCAAGAAAGCTAGCAGCCCATCATCTCCACATTCACCTAGCCATGTAGAGTGGACTAGGGTACCTTCTTTTCAAAGAAGCCCTTTCGAAAATGCCATCACAGTGGTAGCGACGTAAATCAATCCGGGCACAAAAAGACTTGGTGCGTATTAATTTCAATTTCCCAGTTTTGCGGTCAATTCTCTGGACAAGAGATCATGGAAATGCTACTTTGTATTATTTAGGAATTAACCCTACGGCTACTCGGGTTGAGTTGCACACGTAGTATTATTCCCTGGGAAATTTGCCTTGCGTACCTCTAGAGTACCTATCTACAGGTATGTGTAGAAGCTAACCGATTGAATGGTGGGAAAAACAAGCAAGACTCGCATGGTCATCGATCCGAGGTCTTAGTTTTGATTCTTCCCTTTCCTCATTCAACATTGATGTGGGATCTTGAAAAGCTTCTTTGCTGATAATCGTGTTGGTTTTTCTATAGTAGGGGGAGGGAGATGAGATTGTCTATGGAGATAAAACGAAGCTGCCCTGTGAACCGAGAAGGAGAGCGGACGCGTGGCCACGTTGGGCTGATATTTCGTCTGGCCCAGGTTCATCAACCCACCAAACACCCTTGTCGGGGGTGAGAGGTGGGGGAGACCTGGGAGGTTAATAATCCAGGGTGACGGGAGTGGATTGCCGGCCGAGTGAGGGAAGTAAAAGTCTGGGGGGTGAAGTTGATTTGGACTAGGAATATATCATTTAGTCTGAGAAAGGATAGAAAGGCTGGGACGTGAGATGGGATGAAATTCTCGACGGTTGGACGAACCCTCTAGAAGTTAACAAGCTCTATTTTGAAGAGATTGTGCCAAGAGTGATTTTCTCTCTCTTTGCTTTTTGACTTTCTTTCCATTCGCCCACACACCAGGTAGAGAAGGAGGCTGCGGTGGCCAAGCCCGCCATTTGCACTTGGATCTTGTAACGTGCCTGTCCGTAAATCGAGACCAGACAGCCATCCAGCCAGCACGGAGCAGTCCGAGTCAGGTACGAAATGTCGCCTTGTTTTTAAAGATCACCAACGGCAATAAACGAGCAGCAGCCAATGGAGATGGAGAACGATTAAACACAAACAGGATGAATCGGAATTCGATTTTTTCCGGAAAAGCGACCGCTAAGGAGCAGCAGTCAAGGCCGTAACCGTCGAATCCGATCCGAGATCAAACAAAACATCAAATAAATGGAGAGAAAATGATGCTGTCACAGGATTGCAGAAAAGCATACAGCATACATAAGGTCCATGTATGTATTTGCATACCTGTATTCACAAAAGAGCCGAGCCGTGTGCTTTGTTTTGGCTTGCTCGTGTATGTAGAGCATGCATGTATGGTGTGCACATAGATTCATGGATATGGGAAAGGTTCGCAGTACATACGGGGAAAGAGAGAGCGCGACGGAGAGAGAGAGCGAGAGAGAGGGGACAACAGGAACGGAACCGAATCCATACGTAAGCTTCAGCCGAACAGAATTGAGAGATGGAGGCCAGCAACGGTCTAGCGTACCGAATAGGTTGCCACCAAAAAGTCAACCCGTTGGCAGAGAGTGGTAAGGTTCAGGGGCAAAGCAACAGGGGCAGGGAGCAACCGAGATGCAGGAACGGTGAGGCTTTTGGCTGAGGAAAGAAAAAAAGAAGGAAGAAAATCAAATCCCCGACTGTGCCACTGTGCCACTCAGGTACACTCGACAACCACATGTGATGGACAACGACAACTAAACGTCTACAGGCTACCTGATTGCCTGACTGGGCTGCAGACAAATAAGTGTGTATGTAAATTACGATGGTATTAATGGAGACCCGTTGAAGAGTAGGGTACCAACTATACGCTAACGTTATAAACTGTCGTGACAGCTGAGGATAAGGAGACAGAATTTAAAAGCTACATCATACTCTAACTCAGTGGTCGAGGCAGCAACCGAGTGCCGGATCACCCGTAACGGCGGGTACAAGAGTTTGATACGAAACGAGATGAGAGAGACGTGACGCTTCTCTTGAATCTTGAGTGGAGGAGGACGAGAAAATAATTGGTGGGGAAGTGAAATGAGGTATGGAGTTGAGAAAGAAGGATTCCTAAAGGGGAATGGGCTCCATTGACTACGAACAAACCGTTAATAGGAAACGCAGGTTAAGCGCATGCTGTGAGTGGGCGACAATCGGAGGAAACATTTGCATCCAGATAGAGCCTCCCCTGAAGTGGAAATAACCCTATGAATGGCTGAAACGTCCGTGTTCAGGGGTTAACAAGCTACCTACTGGGTTCAAGGAGGGGAAGGGAGGGGGAACGAGGGTGGGTGCCTATCAAAGCACCGCCAGAGCGCAAAGCACAAAACTACCTACATGTAGGTACAGCATTTGGTAACCATTATGGGAGAGGGGCAGAAAATAGGGACTGTGAAGGCAGCAAGTCACAGCAAAACTGCAGAAAGCTCCCAGACTGCCAGGCCCTGTGCATTATTAGCAACCTGCTTGGAGTGGGAAGGATGCTGCAGTTGCATATCCAAGGAACCCGAGACTGGGATTGCCGCACCGTCCTCTCTTTTCCCACCCATCACATCCCTCCCCTTTCCATACACACACGCTTTCTCGGCATATCTCTCATTGCCCTAGTCCCTTTCTTCTCTTCTCCCCTTCTCCCTCCTCAACCTTTCTGACTACAAGAACCAAGGGACTTCCTTCCCTACAGATCTCACTCTCATCCTTCTCCACCAACACATTCACTCACTCACTTGTGTTTGACATTCATTCTTTTCATCATTACTCACACTCTCTTGAGAATTGATTTCTGCGCACTCTTTTGCAGCTTCTTAGCATCCTCAATTAGTCAATTAATTCGAACCAGCACAATCATTAAACAATCATCAACATGAAGTTCCAAGCAACCTCTCTTTTCGCCTCCGCGCTCATGGCTGGATCTGCCATGGCTCACTCATGGCTTGCCTGTGTTGACACCGATGTCACCAACTACTCCGAATGCATGGCTGACCCCAACCTTGACCCGTATGTATTCATCTGCCCCTTACATAATAAAAACAATTTTTTTTGTTTTTTCAAAAGCAATTTCTTGGAATGATGAATACCTTACTGACGATATTCTATTCTCTGCAGAGTGAGAACTTGCAATGGTTACCCGCGTAACAAGATCTACGATTACGACTGGATCAAGGAGTCTTCATTCTACGCATGGAACTTGAACAACGCCAGCAACACCGAGGGCCTCGCTTGCCGTCCCGGCAGCCAGGAGTCAGCGACATACCCTTCAGAGTACCCTATGACCACTGCTGTGCCTGGCCAGACCCTTCGCATGCGTCACTGGGGTAACGGTCACTCACGCTGGGACATCGGTTCCCCCAACCACCGTGACCCCGGTCTCGTCCGTATCTACTGGGCTGGACAGAAGGAAACCGAGCTCAAATACAAGTCCAACCTCACTGAGGCCAACTGGATCCCAGGTGCTCAGTCCAACTTCAGCGCTGATGCCGTTACTCTCATCACTGGAAACACCATGAACGAGAAGGCCAACTACTTCGACTTGACACTCCCGAAGAACATTGAGGCCGGAAGACACTCCATGGTCTGGGTTTGGGCCTGGGATTCTGGTTTCGGTGCTCTTAACGAGGAGACCGGTTATGACGGCAGATGGGCTAACTCTTACTCTACCTGCTTCGATATTGAGATCGTCGACTCTGACTTCGTTGGTATGTTCTGCCCACATATCCAATTCATCTTATTCAATGTACTAACATCTCATCTCAGGACCAACCTACGACAACTCCGATGATTCTAGCTACGTTAACGAAGACGAAGATGCCGAAGCTGCTGCCTGCTCTACCGCCACTGGATACCTCGGAGGAATGTCTGACAAGCCTTGTGTCGGAACTGCCTGCCCACCATGCTGGTACAAGTCTCAGACCGACGGATCCATCGCTTGCTACGACTACACTTCCTCTGGCTCTTGCCCATGGGGTGGCGCTTTCGACTGCTCCAAGAAGCAGGCCACCAGGAGGGCCTTGAAGCACGAGCGTGCCCCATTCGCCTAAATATAAAGAATTTTGGATAGACCGGTTTCCTTGTCATCTTACTCAATTTTTTAGTGTCTTATGATACCTCTGTTCTCGATGAGCTTGGGTGGTGGTGTTAGTTTGTGGAATTTATTGTTTGATCTGATGGTTGTCTTGGGTTTATGACCTAGCTTTTGTAAGTATTACTGTTCGGACAGAACGACATAGGTTGTACTCTATTTGTAGTATTTATTCCTCTTCTATTTTTCTTCTCTCCCTCATTCGAATCGAATTATAGATTTCATACCCTTCAAAACACGGTATCATGTTACCTACTGTATTCCTTGGGGGCTTGTTTGAGGACGAAGAAAGAACATTGTATTATTTGTACTTTATTTTTTGTTTGTTTCCTGTATTTGCATCGCCCTATTGGTGCTGGTCTGGGTTTTTTGGGGTCCCTGTTATTTTTGTTTTTCACATCATATATATCAAAATCAATGTCAGTGCGTTATCACGCACAAAATAGAGGCATCATCACTCATTCATTTGCACATAAAAAAGAGACTACTCACTTCCGCGTTATGATTGACCTGATTCGTGGGGAAGTGTTTTGAGTAAAGAGCCGCGCGTTTCATCACCCTTATTTTTAAATTATCCTGCCTTCCCGATCCATCCACTGGTATGACATTTTGACACGTGCACGGAGAGGAATTGTGTTGTGGAGGTCATTGGTATGGGTATGGGTATGGGGTATCGGTATCGGCATGGCCATGGGGATGGGGTATGGGTATGGAATATAGTTTGTTTGCAATGGCAATGGCAATGGTAATAGGGTATTTATTATGTTTACCGATTCCTTCCACACGGGAAACAAATAGAAGAAGTCGATGGGGGACAGCTTGTTATCATGGGATATGCAAGTTCCTCCTTTCATTCCGCGTCGTGATAGGGTCGTCCCTGGCGTCGTTTATTGCTGACGTCGATAGGCTTGCAGCTCTTTTGGTTGCATAAAACACGTGGTAATGATATGAATGCGTATAATAAGGGTAGGGTTATGTGTATAAGAAAGTTCAACGTAGCTTTTTTTTTATGCACTCACAATATCAAGGATCCGTACAGGCATTTGTGATGTAAGCAGATACTGGCATTTCAAGACGTGTTCTAATTGTACCTCCCCATTTCAGTGTTCTGATGCGCGAGAGGTCAGGGAGTAGATATAGTATACTAGGGAGTAGATACTTGCACCTACAACTTCAAGGGAAGGGAATCGAATTCAAGGGATGCAGTGCGGAGGTGGCTGGAGGATCAGGGTAGTGGACGTGATGTAGATACCTACTCATCCTCAAGGGACCTAAGATGGTTGTATCTATCCTGTAAAGGAGTCGGTGATGCATATAATCTTGTCTCCTTTCTTTCAAGGACCGATAGGGATGGTAAGCTTTTTTGAAACGGTCCAAGAACTTGCAGGAAGGAAGGGATGGTGAAGACACTTCTGAATTGTGGGGTGTATCAGTCCCGTATCAAGTCCCGCTCTTTAATTCTCTGGGAATGGGGAAAGAAGCATTTGACAGAAAGACAGCCTAGGTCATCCCACGACACGTAAATTGTCAAATCTTAAATGTTCCCAGGTTAATCAGGCGAGGTACTTTGAGTAGGCTTCCAGATTACACGCGCATACAGACCCGTCTAGTCTAGTTTGGCCTGGCAAATAGATTGGAATTTAATCAATTCTGCAGTGGGGACCGGACAGCTAACTGGTTATTTGGGTAATTGCATCTTGACGGGTGGTGTTATAACATGTAGTCAGTAGCCATGGTAAAGGGAAATCTAAGAGGGAATAGAAAAATGGTACCAGTAGTGAGAGTGGGCGTGTAGAAGCACTCTAGTCTCTGCTCATGACGCGTGCGGCGTTGGCTTTAATTTCTTTGGCTCTGGGGATTGCGTAACCTACTATCATTGACCTGCCAACGACATGTAGATACCTCACAGAATTTGTTGCACAACCGCATAGGACGTGCGTACGTAACTCAGCCGATAATTGTTTGCTAAATAGTTCAGGGATTGTAATTTGATAGGCCCCGACTTGTAATTGCTTGTCGCTGTCCCGAACGGCGACAATTGTAGCCATGCCAAGGCCGAGCTAACCACCACTAGCAGATGGTGCTAACCAATTACATGTAGAATTTGAAAACTCTTCAAAATTGTCAAATCAACTCGGTAGCACAAGGTTCTATAGTGTAATGGTTAGCACCCAAGATTCTGATTCTTGTAATCCCGGTTCGACTCCGGGTAGGACCTTTCAAAGTCTACCGGTTAACCACCTTGGTTGCCTGTGAGACCTTTTTTTTCACGTAGTCATCTTTCGATTCTGTATACCAAAAGTGCAGTCTTACCAATACATGAAGAACGTTTTCTTCTCTGTAAATGAACGGTTGCTTGATGCACTACTATCCAGACTGATAAGAGGGGGAAAAAAACAGGAGTACTAAGCTCTCCCCCTTACCTGACAGGTTATCATTGGTTCTTACTACTCTTGTTCGAACTGCTGATCCAGACTACAACTAAGGATAAAGATAGCAATGTGCACGTGCAGGAGAGATAAACGAGTCAAGCTTTTACAACGAGATCTACTGTACATGTCCCCTATGTTTATATTTAGCTTATGTTTATGCGGATGATCTAGAGTAGGTTTGATTTGCAGTCTTGAACAGCCTTCCCCGACTTGTTAGACTTGTTGCAATTATTAAACCCCACTGTATAATCATAATCTCCACCAAAAGAGGTCTCGGGCTTAGTGGTCCGGTTTCTCTACCGAAAGCCCTCTTGGACAATCTCCGCCGATAAGTAATTAATTAATTGGAGATTAGTGAAATGCTTGAAGAAATCTTTGGTTGGGTTGAAATCATATTTTTGGCCATGGTTATAGTTGACTCGGATTAGGTTCCTTACTCGGCGCGGCGTACATTGACAGCCCGGAGATGTCCATACCAATGATTAAGAAACATCTCAACAATGGGGATATTGTTCTGTATGCGCATTCATTCCATCTATGGAATATACTCACATTTCTCACCATACGTACCCCAAGCCCTAACCCACCCTAACCCACCCCCCAAATCCACCCCACTAGCATTGATTGTTACCCTACCCTCCCCTAGAAGTTCACCCCACCAAAGCAAAATCCACCCACAGAAAATTAAACAGGGTCCTCAAACACCCAAAAAATGTCGTCAACCAAACTTCTCACGACAGTAACGCGACAACTACATGTGCGCTCACCACCAACACTCAAATCATGTCTGCACCATCACCGCCGTAGCGTGCACAAGCTCGCATCCTTGCCAGAGGCCTTTCAGTTCATCAAGATCTCCCCAGAAATCCAAGCTGCGCTGCAGCGCGGGGCGCCCGTCGTAGCACTCGAGTCGGCGAACATCACTTGCCCGGCTGAGGTGGGGGGTTAGTTGGTTCCCCCTTTCTTGTCTGCGCGGGGAATTGAGTACTGACAAGTGGGGTTTTTTTAGCCTTGCCATTGCCGCTCAACTCGGAATTTGCGACCAAGGTGGAGCGAGAGATCAGGAAGATGGGCGCGATACCGGCGACGATGATGGTGTTGGCTGGAAGGGTGCATGTTGGTATCGAGGACCCAGCTCTCTATTACGAGATGGGGCAGAGAGCTGCGATGAAGGTCTCGCAGAGGGAGTTGCCGTTTGTGCTTGGGATGGTATGGTTGCTTCCTTCTGGTTTATTCGGAAGCGGGCTAACTGTAGGATTTGCGGACTACAGCCAGGTCGACGTAGCGGTGGTCTTACGGTCTCAGCGGCATTGACGATTGCATCAATGATTGGTATCAAGGTTCTCGCAACGGGTGCCATCGGCGGTGTCCATAGATCTGCGACAACACTTATGGACATCTCCGCTGATGTTAACGAGCTCGGCCGGAGGAATGTAGCAGTGGTATGTTCGGGACCAAAGGTTTATCTGGATGCGGAAGGGACGATAGAGTACCTAGAAACGAAGGGTGTGCCAGTAGCTACGTTCGGAAAGGGGACGATGGAGGTCAAGCTCCCAGCACATTACAGTACCGAGGGAGAGCTTCAGAGTCCGTTAGTGCTGAAGAACGCGAAAGAGGCGGCGAGGATGATCCGTGAGCATATACCCTTCCGTCTATCCCGGTATCAGCTAATGAGTGAGTGGATAGATACAAGTCACGAATGCGGACTCGAAACGGGACAGCTCCTGTGTAATCCCATCCCGTACCAAAATCAATTGAACCTCGAAATAGTTGAGAGGAGTGTGAAGAAATACTTCAAGGAACGCAAGAAGCACAGTAAGAAGGACAAGGAGGTGGTTGAGAACATGGTGTCTACAATCCGGCGCTTCAATAATACAGACAGAACGGTAGCAGCGGAGAAGGTCATGCTGATGCACAATGCTCAAATGGCAGCAAAAGTGGCAATAGAGCTAGCGCGGATAGAGACGGGGATTGATTGGTTTGTTATCCACAGCTCCCTGAGATAAAGGTTTGGGCTAATGTGTGAACGGCAATAGGAGGTCGAAAGATCGGACGGAGACGACGAAGGACAGGGAAGATTACCGGCCCGGTTCATCTCCGGATCGAGATCTAGAAAATGGGCCAAATCACAGCGCAATATATCACGATAAACAAACTCGACAGGTCTATGTGCCTGGGAAGGGTTATCTGCACCCGATAAGCACAATGCGCGACTCGGGGCAGCAGCTAGATGAGCAGCAGCAGAAGAAGAAGCAGCAGAAGCAGCAGCAGGTGCGGCCAGTCATCCGTCGGTCTCTAAGTAGAGACCCCTTGAGTGATTATGAGATTTCGCGGCGGCAGCCCTTCCAGAGGTCGGACCAGTCTTCCGAAGAACCACGGAACGTCCTAGCAGAGTGGCCTCTGCCTGAGCCAGTGCCGCGAACGCAGGTAGTAACCGAGAGAGGTTTCACCATACGGCGGGGGGCACACCTTGGGGTGCGAGTGTAATTATGAGGTTTGTATATATATACTTTACATAGATTCTGATTTTTTTTGGTGTTCAAAAGGCGGGTCATTTGTAATTTTACGTTTTAGATCTCTACTCTCCATAGGTAGTTTAGAGTTTGTACCGGTTTTTGCTTTGGCCACAGTGCTGCACATATGTGTTCATTCTGCATGATAACGGAAAGTTTTTTTTTTTTTGATTATTTTAGAGTGGGATATATTTCGGTATCAGTTAGAGGTGTGTATGCTTCGGGCTCTGGCCCGAGACTGCTTCCCGGGACGAAATAGTCCCGATATTTGAGGACACAATCAAAGCTGCTGCTGGCCTCTAGCAACGTCATCCGTTAAAACTGCGGGGTGAAAGTAGCTTGTTTGTGGGAGGAAAAAGATAGGTGTTTTTTTTTAGGGCCCTCTTCGCCATGAGTGTTCGCGTCCTACTTTCCCGTTCTTACCATCCGCTGCAAGTTGCTTCTTTTTCTTGCCTTTGCTGCTGACACGATCATGAGATATATGAGGTGGTTTCGTTGAGAAGCTTTCAGTTACGGATCCAATGTCATTGTTACCAGTAACGTATTTGACCTAGGCCTAATCAAAACCAAATTTGTTCACAACCAATTTGTTCACACCCAAATTTGTATGTCAATGGCCCATTTCCAGTTCTTACAGTCTGACACGGTACCAGGTTAAAAACGTACTTGTATCCACATGTAGGGTCAATCAATTTTTGCGGTGGTAACATCAAGCCAACCCCTAGTTGCTACATGTAATTCATGCTAGCAATACAAGTAGTCATCGTCGAGGACGATGTCACCATGCATAAGATGGACTCCCGTCGTAACTAGAACCTTGGTGCCACCATGGATGCCACCTTGGGAAACAAGAGATTACATTTGTATGGTACAGTATATACTCAACCATGGATGGGCTAGCTCCCCTATAGAAGAGGGGGAAATCCCGGGGTTCAATCAATGAGCCTGGACGACTCAGGTGTGCTGGATATCTTTCGACTGGGTTCTTGTAGGTACTGGCATTTGAAAGGATAGAATACAGGTGGGCATGACTCGCTGGCTGTTGTCACTGGCCGCCGACAAACGCTTGGACCCAGCGAGTGAGAGGTTGTGGAGGAGGTCGATTACTCAGCTACAGTCAATCGTTCGGATGTATGTAACACCGACACGTGTAGAAAGTGTAACCTGACTACATGCCTATCAGAGCTTACTTGTACATGTAGTTACCCTACACCTTGGGGCTCGAATGGACAACTACACTCGTCGATAATTACTAGCTGGTCAGATGCGAGTGAAGACCTGGCTTTTGTAAGATCGACTTCGATTATCTATCATCAATATGAGACTTCTTCTCATCTTACGCGCGGCACGTGAGCTATCATACACAATCATTTCATAGATACCCCACAGATACTTCTGCGGCGGCTATTGGCTCTCCTACAAACCACCTATAGGACGTGCACGCTTACTTAGCAAAGATTTTAATTTGGTCTCCTCAGGAAAAACATCTACATGCATGTGTTCAGCAATCGGAAACATCGCTGCTGTTGGAGTGGTGGGTTGTAGTTAACCTTGACTTTGCTTTTCCTTTGCTGGCCATGGATTCACGCCTAGCCCACTCCATGTGTCTTTCAGCTCAGTCTGCTCTACTTTCAAGGGATCCCCGCAACCTTCATCCCCGCAGACGGAGAGATAGGCAGTCTTCTAGACGTCATATCATCCCTTGATAATGGATGTACCCAAGTTGGGTCCTCTAGAGTAGAGCACTCTATCTACACCTGCAGTAGGTGGGCATTTTATGTGCTGCTGCATACATTACATACCCGATCTCTATCACGGGCAATTTACCCGGTTTCTGGAGCAGATGTGCTGAAGTTCTGTCGAATCATTCTCTCCGACCTTTGTTCTTTCGGTTTTTCGCACTCGCATACCATACTCGTTCTAGTAATCCATACCAAGACCCCAACCACCCAGAGGGAGCATATGTAGAGAGTCATCGCTGATCCTAGCCCTAAAGTTGAAATGCGCACGGTGTACTCTAATAGGAGTGGTCCCTGCAGCTGAGACAAATTTCAACTGACAGCGAAGCAGCAACCAACCCGTTCCCGCCGGCCGGGGTGGGGAGGGACACTGGTCGAAAATGTCAATAGCGAGTTGGGGATCGGTGGGTGCATCCCATTGTTCTGTCAGGAAAAATTGTTGTGGCCGTCTCTGGTTGGGTTGGTGGGTGGCTGATGGGCCGAGTGGATACGTTTTTTTCACCCCCCCGGCTCTTCGCTCTTTAAGACAACTGGACCCAATGCCGTGCTCGTGCTCCGTTACCTTACTCAATATGGCGATTTCAGCCTTGTATGGCTGGTTCAGTCTACCAGCCTGTGGTACAAGACGCACTGGTGAGAGGGAGAGGAAAGTAAAGACTGAGGACGACCTCAATCTAATCCTCAAATCTAATTCCTTAATAGCAAAGGACGCCCGTCCAGCCTGGAAGGCTAAGACACAGGAGAAAAGAAAAGAAGAAAAGATCCTGCTTTCCAGGACCTGATCCTTCTCCCAACAACGAACCGTCAGCTGGAAAATAACACGACGGGTATGTGTATCTCTCTCTGATCTGTACCAGTTTTCCAGAAGAAGAAGAAGGAGAAGCAGAAGGAGATATCTGCACCCTTTTGAATCCCACGAGGTTAACCCACCACGGCTCAGCTAGCCAGCACCTAAGACCTGATAGGTTGAAGTTGAGTAATCGGCATCACCACCCACATACCCACCCACATACCCAGAATCATTATTATACTGTCTAGAGTATAGACAGTTTGGAGGACTACCAGCCACCCCCCCCGATAGATAGTCGGAACGACTTCGAATCTAGCTGTCCATTCCGTAAAAGCGTGCGTACCCTCGAGCCAGAGAGTACGTACACCCCCCTTATCCCACCCCCGTAAGAAATGTCATCGTACACACAACCACCAGCAGGAGCAGGAGTACCGGCAATGTCGTTTCCAGCACCCATCATGAGGGCGAACGCCCTGTCCTCTCTCCACCCTCCCCCAGAAACTCCCAAGCGACACAGCCTCACAGTTTCAGTCTCAGATATTTCCGAGGTTGTGGACGGTAGCGGAAGATTCATAGCAGATGCGGCCCGTGAGACGCTGATAAATGCAGCTCGAGACGGTGACGAGAGTTTAGTCAAGAAACTCCTCGAGTCAGGAACAAATGTCAACGCCGCGGAAATATCCGGGAAGACCGCTTTACAGGCGGCAGCGGAGAGCGGCCACGAGGGTATGGTGGTGCTACTGTTGAATGCTGGGGCGTCTTTGGTTACACCTGCTGCTGAGTACTCTGGGAGGACGGCATTGCAGGCTGCGGCGGAGAGGGGATATGGTGGGATTGTGAAAAGGCTTCTAAGCGCTGGGGCGAAAATCGATGCTCCCCCAACTGGAGATTTTGGTAGAACTGCTCTACAAGCAGCAGCGGGAAGCGGTCACATGGATGTAGTCGAAATCCTTCTAAGTTGCGGCGCAAACGTTAATGCTCCACCATCCAAATCGTCCGGGAGGACAGCTTTGCAAGCTGCAGCGGAGGGCGGGCATGACGATGTGGTGCTGATGCTTCTCAGGGCCGAGGCGTACGTCGATGCATACCCATCGAATTTCCATGGTAGAACAGCGTTACAGGCTGCAGCTGGGGCAGGGTATGAAAACATTATCGAGATCTTACTGGAATCTGGCGCGAGCATCGATGCCCCACCTTCAGAGTTTTCTGGAAGAACTGCGCTGCAGGCTGCAGCGGGGGAGGGGAGAGAAAATATAGTTTCTCTGCTTTTAAGATATCAGGCAAATATAAATGCGCCGCCGGCAAACTCTTCCGGGAGGACTGCGCTACAGGCTGCGGCAGAGGCCGGCCATGAGAGAATCGTGAAAATGTTGATCGACGCCGGGGCAGACACGGATGCTCCAACATCAGAATTTTCCGGAAAAACGGCACTGCAGGCTGCAGCGGGAGGTGGCCATGAGGAAATTGTAAGGCTCATCCTAGAAGCAGAGATTTCTACGGGAGCGGCGAAAACGGAATCGTATGGAGCGGAAGCACTGGAGGCTGCTGTAAATGCTGGACAAATGAAGATTGTGAGGATGCTACTGGACGCTGGTGTGAATATAAACACTAGAAACTCCATGGGAAGAACGTGCCTGTTCTCATTGAACATGAGTAGTGAGATGTTGCAGGAGCTGGTGAAACTAGGCGCTTTTATCGACCATGCGGATTATGATGGAATGACACCGCTACATTATGCTGCTGAGAATGGGTGCAAGGAACTTCTTATCAGTCTGCTAGATGCAGGCGCCGATATGGAGATTGAAGATAACAGAACTCGAAGGCCATTACATTTGGCGCTGGAGAAGAAGTATGAGGAGTTGGTGAAGGTGATGCTTGGCAGGGGTGACAATATTCGGGAATCCCGTGTAAAGAGTTGGCGAGCAGTATTGAATGCAGGTGAAACCGACATCATTATGATAAGCGAGGGTTCGTCCGGTGCGAACGATATCAAGAAGGTTGACATCGATAATGCGAAAATTGGGATCGAGACAGATGATTTGTTACCATTGAAACAATTTTAGTAAGTAAACTACAGGCAAGAAATAATTGAAAAGAATTATGCTGACCATTGTATAATAGTAATGCAAATGGGCTCAAATGGGATGATGCAAAATGTAAAAGACTCGTTGATCCCTGGAACTTCATGTCGAAATATTTGGCTTTACATGGTAATGTTCGCCCAGAAACCAGCGGTGCCAATGTGCAATGGATATGGGCGCTGGTGAACCCAAGAAAAGACTTACACGGCCCTACACGGAACTATGGTCTTGGGATCCCAAACATTGGAAATATCGCAACAACTGCCCATACCAAAGGTGTGTTTCTATCCCATCCACCCCAAGGGTCGTGACCTTTTGGCTGATCAAAATTTAAAAGCAATATTGGTCTGCTATGTTGCATTTGACTTCTTTGTTCACATCCCTCCAGAAGAGGCACAACTTGAGCCTGATGAAACCCCACAGGAATCGTGCTTCCATACTGAGATCCAGAAAACACAGATCTCATGGGTCATGCGAAAAGCTGGATCTGGGGACCAGCAGATTTTCCGCTCCATGAATTACAGGAGTACTTTGGAGTATGGCTGTGTGCCGAGGCATGGGGTTGATTTCTTTACTCTGTTCATTGAAGATCTACACCATAAGTGGCTGGATATCTTTCATAAAGCCGAAGAACACCTCAAACAAAGCGTATGTATCAACTATTCCAGCGAGATACTGGTATTGTAAACGTATTCTAATTTCCACCACCCAGCGAAAAAACCTCTTGCTCAAAGAGGGGCAAACCACTAGTCTTATACGAACATTTTTAAGAGATGCACAACTATGGTCGGATTTCAGAACATTATATAAGCAGCACGTGAAGGAGGCCAGAGCTTTGGTGAAAGATTTCCGCGAGAAGCGACTGCTTTATGATGAAGTCAACCACTTCGAAGACAAAGCAACATTAGCCGAGGAATGCCCCGAGGACAGTACAGAGAGCGAAGCGTCATCAATCATTTTTTCCGACTGCCCCGAGCGCGATAAAAAGAAGAAGAAGAAGGAGAAGAAGAAGGACAAAAAGGGGAAAGTATCCAAAGCGAAAAGGGATAAAATATATCTCGAGACGAAACATTTGGATGAATTGATAGAAGCTATGAAGAAGGACTGCAGAGAAAATATAAGAAAATTGGAGAAAAGGACGAAGGACATGATTGAACTCGTGAGAACTCACCTTTATGAAGCATGGTCACGTTGGGTTTGGCTAATTCGTAACAGGAATTTAACTTGGTTTCTATTTTCGAAGCACGGATATCAACCACAACTGCCCAGAGCATGAAACGTCTCACCTGGATCACTTTTATTTTTCTACCATTGCTTTTCGTAGCTGTAAGCATCATACTCCGTAGCACTTATTGGGAAGGTGGAAGCTAATAGTTAAATTAAGAGTTTGTTCGGTATGAACTTGGATATATTGGAAACTGGTCCGGTCAAGTGGTGGTGGTATGTGGTTTTAAGTTTCTCACTATTCGTAATGGTCCTCGCCGGATGGGCTATCTTCAAATATTCTAGCGTATGTTTTCCCGTTCCTGATGTCCAAGCTTCCGAGATCTACTCCGAGATTACTCACAGGCCAGACTTTCCAGAACGTCGGTGGGTGGTGTGAATCTCTATTTGTTTCGCTTTGGAATAAATTGCCACCTATTCCTATACCTAGACTTCGAGAAAAGAGTAGTCCCATGGATGATCTTGAAAGTGGGTTCAATTTTAAGAACCCTAAGTTTAAGTTTACCTAGCGACGAACGAGCATTTACGACAATAATGAATTATGGAAACTTACAACGAATTGGCATATATTTACGGATCAACCAGTAATGATTGGTAATGGATGGGGTATGAAATGGATGGGGATGGTAAAAATGGGCGGGGTAATGATTCTACAGGCGTTTTTTTTCCTTCTTTACCACTGGCAAGGACATTGCCGTTTACTATGTTTATTATATGGATATTTTTGGACTATCTTTAATGGGCTCTGTCTCTTTATAAGGATTGAATGTAAATTCTACCATTTGTACTCGATCACGCCCAGGCGCGGAAAAACTGTCATGTGAAGGTTAGCATCAGCAGACTATCGTAATGTCAGGCCTGACCCTAACCCTGGATGAAACAGCCCTAACCCTGCGGAGCCCCTTGGTCCGAGAAACACCATGTAAAACATCGCCGGATTTCATTCGCTCGCCTGGGAGCATTCCTGCTCACAAAGGTACTAATCGATCTCGAGATCTCATCACTTTATATCATATCTGCTTTCTCCAGGGAGCCACCAGATCTTAAACCAAACTTCGCAAGGAAACAGAGCGCATCGGACATCCGTTCTGGACTTCTAACTGGATGCGATAGCTTCCCCATAGCTCCACGTTTAAGATGTCTCAATATTCTCGCCTCGATACCGAAGATGACCCACAGTCACTCAGTACTCAGCCTTTGATAGCGAACCCAGATGTTCTTTCCGATCCCACAGAAAACGCGGACAACCCCGAAGACGGAGCTATCACAGGCTGGATATGGCTCCTCACCTTGACAGCTGGCATAAGTGGTCTGCTGTTCGGCTGTGAGTATATAATTGCTCCCTATCTCGACCGCAACTGACAAGACTGACGCCCTGCAGATGATACAGCTTCCATCTCGGCTGCATTACTACACCTTGGCCCGTCGCTCTCCACGCCGGAGAAGCCTGTAACAACGTGGGATAAGTCGCTGATAACGTCCTCCACATCACTCGGTGCGTTGGTAGGCGGTTTGTTTGCTGGATTGCTGGCAGATCGCATTGGGCGGAGAGGGGTCATCTGGGTTGCAGATGTCCTGTTTATTCTTGGTGCCATATGGCAGGCTCTCGCCGGGAGTGTGGGCAGCATGGTAATAGGTCGTGCTGTGGTGGGCTTGGGTGTTGGTGTTGGAAGTCTGATTGTGCCGCTGTGAGTGAAACCGGATGGGAATCTTCCTACATAAACACCCATCGGCCCCCCGTTTGCGATGTATGGCCGGGCTCTTGTTCGATGTTTGCTAACGAAAACAGATACATCTCCGAGCTATCCCCTCCATCACACCGAGGTCGCCTGGTCGTAATTAATGTTTTGTTTATCACATTCGGCCAGCTAATTGCTTATGCTGTTGGTCTCATCCTTTCTCCACCAACCCTCTCTCAAGACCTTAGCTGGAGATTTATGCTTGGACTCGGTGGTGTCCCTGCCTGCTTCCAGTTCGTGTTTATGTTTTTCATGCCAGAGACGCCGCGATGGCTAGTACAGCACTCTCGTCGCGATGAAGCTGCAAGAGTTGTACGGAAGATCTATGGCGACCTCTCTGAAACATCAGTCGAGAAAGTCCTTGGTAGTATCGAACAGGGTATAGAGACTGTGTCAAAAGATCCCTTCATGGCCAAGCTCAGAGCGATCTTTGCAGTTGGGAGCAATCGGCGTGCTCTAGCAATAAGTTGCTTGCTTCAGGGCCTCCAACAGGCCTGCGGGTTCAATTCTCTCATGTACTACTCGGCCACTATATTTTCCCTAGTGGGGTTCAAGAACCCTACCGCTACTGCAATGGTCGTTGCTGGAACAAATCTGGTTTTTACCGCGTTGGCCTTCACATTGATTGACCGGATCGGGAGGAGAAGGATCCTACTTTGGTCGATCCCGGGTATGATAGTGGGGCTATTATTGTGTGCGATAGCTTTCCACCATCTGCCAATTCTGACCACCACTGCTCTTTCAGAGCCTTCGCCTTCCATATGGACCCCACTGCTTATCATATTTATGATGGCATATGTAGCAGCCTATGCGATCGGTGTCGGTGCCATCCCGTGGATCGTACAGTCCGAGTTCTTCCCTATGCGTGTTAGAGGACTCGGAACGGGAATGGCTACAGCTACAAATTGGGTGCTCAACTTTGTCGTTGGGGCGACCTTCCTTCCTGCTGTAGAATGGATGTGGGGCGGAGCTGAGGGGCTGTTTGTCGTTTATGCGCTGGTGTGCGGGGGTGGGTTGCTGGCGGTTTATAGGATTTATCCTGAGACGAGAGGTCTTAGGATGGAGGAGATTGAGAGTGTGCTGAGGAACGGATGGGGAGTGAATAGAGGAACAAAGAGGGGGGCAGCAGAAGACGATATTTGAAAGGTGGGCAGATCTTCTTTTACGGCAGTAGCACGTTTTGTGGGGCTGTCTTTTGGTTTTTGGTTTTTTTTTGGGTGGGCGTTAGAGAGCCGACTTTGGGGGGCCGTCATTTGGTTCTTTGGGTTTCGAAGAAACGAAATTTCTGGCATGTTTAGGCGTTGTTGATTTCATCTTCGTTTTATACCCTACTAAACGGATTTCTTATTTTAAATAAACAGAATTGAATTTCGTCAAGTAAAAGTACATGAATTCGTTCATCACAATTAAAATTAGACGCAAATGCTAACACCCATGGGTATTTAAGTTGATGATGGGCTTGTCAAGACGTTTCCTACAACAGCAATCAGTATCTGATATCTTGGGGACACAATATGAAGTAACATACCTCCATCGGGATATAACACTTGTCCATTAAGGAAGACACCTCCAGGGCCAGCAAGATACAATACCGCAGCAGCCATATCTGCATCACCTCCAGTGCGCTCTACAAAAGGATCATTAACAATCACTCGAAATATTAATGCCCGGGGATTACTCACTAGCAGGAAGGCTCTGTCCCATACCCTTAAGCTCCGACTTTTGATTCTCGTCCGAGCTGTCGGCAGTCATCTCACTCGGGAAGATACCAGGTGCGATGGAGTTGACACGAACTTTGCAATCGGCGAATGTGGTTCCCAACATCCGTGTCAGGTGGATAAATCCTGTATCAATGTCAATACTTGGACGTCACCATGCCGATGGAAGAGATTAAATACCGGCTTTAGAAGTGGCATATGCGAACTGTCCTGAGCTGCTTCCTTTCAGAACGCCGGAGATGGAGGTGATGTTGATGATGGATGCTGAGTAACCTAGTGTGTTTGCAGTTCCTTTTGACAAGAGTGGCAGGAATGCAACCGAGCAGAAGAACTGGGCCGTCAGGTTTGTCTCGAAAGTTTCTATACAATAATAAGATTATTTCACAATCGCCAGTGAGAGAAATCGGGGGATAATACTAACCTGCCCATGACTCCGGGGTTGCTTTCCACAGATGCTCGGTGATGGAGTCGGCATTGGAGAAATCTGGCTCTCCAGTCTTATATGACGTGGTTTGCTTCTCCTTTGCAACACCGGCATTGTTAACAAGGAGATGAATACCGTTTGGCTCCTTCTCCTTGATCTCGAGGGCAAGACGTTTGATATCTTCCTTATCCGTGATATCCGCTGGTGCCCTAAATATTCACCACTATCAGTTTCTTCATATTCACCCCAATTACAGGAACAACATACGCAATAATCTTTCCAGCATTTGGGCCACCCTTGCCTGAATACTTCTCTACAACCGTATCTAGTGCCTCCTTACGACGTCCGGAAATATAAACTGTCGCTCCGTTGGCTACCAGCGCCTGGGTTATCATCAACCCAATACCAGTTCCACCACCCGTCACGACAGCTTTAAAGCCACTGACGTCGAAGAGCTTCGATGCGAGGAGCCCGGTGTTAGGGTGAGCCGAGGGATCTAAGGATGTATAAGAAGCCATTGCGTTTTTAAAGGTATGGGTATGGATCAAAGTAAAGTTTTTTGGCACAACTGTTGGACGAATTGCTGTGAGTTTAAAGATATGGGAACGCATTCCTATTCTCGCGAGGAACTATATAAATATCAGATCCTCCTCTGTCCGCATATGCTCTGTTTATATTATAAACCAACCTCTGCGGATTTCATATCTCGCTGGCTGGGAAACATTTCCGAAGGGCTTAGATGATTTTGATATTACTATACAGGTGACCTCATACCTGGCTAATAACTGTGTAATGGATCATTACCTGCATCCACAAACGACATACAATAGTAGTTAGTAGCGGGGCGGCAGCATGGCTCGATTTCACTTGCGCTTTACACTTTGCTGCGAAATAGGTACCTACACATCCTGGATGTATGACGTCTATGTTTGCCATGTCTTGGTAGCAGTAGCGGGAAAGGGCCGAACGGATCTAAACCGTTGCCCCGGAAACAACACCGGTCGTTGTGGTAACCCTAACCTTAAATGTATAATTGCTTATTTAACAGTCTACGATTCACATGGATTTTAAGAACATATCTATAGATAAGTTATGAAAATTAGACATTTTACTTTCTTATGTAGTATAGAGTCGGGAGTTGTGGTGGGGTTCATACTATTTCGTGGCGCTTCTTGACACACCGAAAAGACAGCTAAACGGACAAACCTTTGACCGGAACGGACGGGTAAATACATACAAGGTGATGTGAAAGCGCGTGGCAGATTTCTTCTCACTCTCCTCGCCATAACGAGTACCCGAGAAGAAGAATTAACTGGCCCACCCCCCTGATCGCTGCTGCCTATATATGTACCCCTGATTGCGACTCCGAGGGGGGGGGTAGAAATTTAAGCTGCCCTATCCAATAAGGCCGCGCGCGTGGAAATCAAGCTTTTTGGGGGGTTTCAGATCATGAAACCGTTTCGACACTTACTGTTATTATTGCATTTCCTCTTGTGGTCGAGGTCTCGTGACAGAGAGAGCGCTGGCCATGACTACATGAAGCTTTGTCAGCAGAGAGGGTCTAACTTTAGATACAGGCCTGCTGAGTACTCTCGAGTACTAAACCCTGGGGCTGACGATAAATATAGAACCACGATAGCCACGATGCTCTAGTCTATATTCTCTGTGGATATAACCTAAGCCTGCTGCAGAAGCATATGTATGTGGGAAGCTTAAGTCACGACGCGCAGAAAAAAGAAGGCTGTCAGACGGGATGGAGAGCACAGTGAGCCGTGGCCGATTTTGTGATGCTCTCTCGACTGTGGTCTGCGGTCGAACAATTTAAGCTACTCTTTACGTACGTGGCTGTATGCACGTGGCTTACAGACTTCAAGTGTCTTATCCGTCCGATACGAACAACTTGCAGCGATGGAGACGAAAAAAAGACCAGTGGGTTTTCTTTTTTGATGCGCTTGTGATGTCCGAGGAAATCTCGAATCAATTTGGACACGGCAATTGAGCCTGTAAAACTGCTAGATAAGCGCGACAAATATCCTGGACATGAATCTGCGACATCAACTTTTAGGGTCGGGTGATAAATTGTGATTGATGGCCCGCTCGGTGGCGCTAGAGAATGGGCCTAACGGAGAAGCGCGCGCTATATATAGTGAAATTTTTAGCGTTCGTGGTTCTAGCGTTACACATATGTCTTCCTTTCGTAGGACAAGGAAATGTCAATGAGAAAGAAAAAAATGAATTGCCTGGAGGCGGTTCGAACTTGATAGCAACACCCCGTTTCGATCGGGGGACCTCCGGGTTATGAGCCCGGCGCGCTTCCGCTGCGCCATGTTGCTGTTAGAACAACTTTGAGAATTGCTATTTGAGCAAACTTTCGTAGTGTATGCATGACTCATTAGCATACCCCGGAGTTTTAGCTTCGATGGTAATTTCTTTTTAGCGTGGCCCGAGACGTGGTCCCGAGACATGGAGTTTCTCTGCCACGAGTCTCTGTGATGTCTCTCTCCCTCTACAGATGTAGGTTTGCTCGCCTGGACATCCATTTACAAATCCTAAATTCCTAATTGCCCTGGTTTTCTGCGGCACGAGTCTAAACTGGACTTGGGGCTAGGTCAAATTGGTAATTACTAGGACTAATGCATTCCACGTTCGGTTCTAGTCAGAAGGGCTCATGCACAGTAAGATCTTGTTCGAAAGGAGACTTTTCTCGCCTAAGGATTCTATGTACTGTCAATCGATATGAAAACAAAGTATCACCCGTCACAATTTTTGGCATCCACAAGAAAAGCGGTCATAAAGATGCTGACCGCGCAAATATACACATGTAGGGCGGTGACGACACGCCACACATTACATGTACAGATTCTGGTAGAATTAATGCGAAAGTGGGTTTTCCGTGACCCGATAGTCCCATTGGCCCTCAAAGGAATTTTTGCAGTGAGCACGGGCCAAGAAACCCACCCTTTTAGTTCTGACTTTCGCAATAATTCTACCGGATACTGTAGTACGCATCCGTTTTCGGTATTACTCTGTTTGACCCTTCTAACCGTATTCTGCACATTTATTACTGTGATGGCATCCTCCTTGGCAGACACGTGAGCTAGCCCAATAGAAAGAACCGAGTGATCCACTGTGATGCGTGGTCCTGGCAATTTGACAAACGGGGTCGAGCGTTTCAGCTACGCAGATTATTGCCCCGGCCAGGTTAGGGTTGAGGATAAACTGCCCTCGACCAGTAGCATCGGCGGAAACTTGTTTTTCTTTGAGCCGCCTGCCTGTAGCAGTCCCCATATGTGAAACCTGCATTGTATCTTGTTCCTGAATTTTTCTCTCTCAAATTGGCAAGTTGGGGTGTGGCACACCGCCCCCAGCTAGCTGCGTCGCCTACCGATTTAATCCAGCTATCCGTAAAGGCGCTGTACTCTACAAGTACAAGCAAGACCCTTACAAACCCACGCGCCTTACCGAAAACCAATAAAAAATCGGGTAACTTTATTTATATACCCTGAGCGCTTTTTTCCTCAGCCCTGAGAGGGGTAGATCGCGGGTGGCTTGGCAGGGAGAAATTTAAATCTGGCTCAAAGTGGAAAGACCGCGCCACGATCGCAACTAAGCACTAGCCACCAGCGTTACTGTTTTCTTCGACAGCTTTTAGAAGACTCCCCACTCCAAAAGGGAGTAAGAGACATCACAGTGAGAAAAAAAATTGGTAAAACGGCTGTGTAGGTGAAGCGAGAAAAGAAAAGCAATCACGGGTATTGACTGACAACAACTTTAGGTATCATCATCATGCGTTTAATCCTTTTTCTCAGGGGTACATACGTTTTGTGCCAGCTGGTTGCGAGCGGCATTCTCGTCCAATCGATCCCTCCCACAGGCAACTCACAACAGTATTCTAGCTGACAGAGCCACCGCCGCCAACCACCACAACCCACAGCGTGGAGTGGGGTGCCAATTCAATTAGGTAGCTAGTGAATAGGGATCCATGTTTAGAGCAAGAAAAAAGTGTGTAGGTGTGCCTGTCACATAGAATAGTGCCTTTGTGGGTGCAGTTTCGGAGTCAATCCAGGCAGGGGAGGGGCGGGGGGTTGGCGACCACATTCAAGTTGTAGGATGCTGTGGCTATATAACTACATAGCAGATCCTTTGCAAGGGTCCTCCCTCTCACACAGTTACAAAAAAACTACATAAACTACAACTTCCCTCCAACATCTACACGACACTCAACCCACCAACCAGTCAAAAGACAGTATCTACTACAGCCTCCCAACACATACACGCACACAACAGCAGCAATGTATTTCTCCAGCTCTAACGTCTTGTTCGCTTCCCTAGTATCTTTGATCGCCGTCAACAGCGTCACGGCGACGACCTTCTCAACTAATACCAAGATCGACGCCCTGACCGAACAGCAGGTGCTCGCAATCGCTCCTAACTCTGCGGATTGCACCAAAGCTTCATTCCCTGATGAATGCACAAACGCCACTGTTGCAACGGAGCAACTTAACAAAGCCTTCAAGGCATACAAAGTTTGGTCGCTGGGCCCAAAGGCGGCGCTAGCATCGCTCATCGCATTTGAGTCTGGCGACTTTGTCTACAATATCAATCATTTCCCTGGAAGGCCTGGACAAGGAAGTTCGTATAACTTTTTTCCCGGTGAGCGTAGGATTTTTGCTAACAAACTGAATAGCCAAGGCGATGTTGATGTTCAAATGGGTCTACAAATTTGCTCTCTGGTGCGGGTTTGAGGATGAAATGTCCACTATCGTTGGGAAGCCTGCTGGAGACGTCACCGAAGCCGAGACCGCTACTTTCAGCAATGACACCATGAAGGCCGTCCGTGCGCTTGTTCTTCCCGTCAAGTATGTCTCTAGCTCCCATGCCGCTTTAGGATATCCATGCTAATATCTCTTTTTCCAGCTTCACGTTCAAAGCTGCACCATGGTATTTGGTCAAGCAGTGCAAACGTGAGCATTATACAGGACTCATCACCGATGGTTACGAGGGTTTCAAGAACTACATCGAGCTGTGCATCGAGGCAGGCGATATCACCGAGGACAGGACCGCAAAGTGGTGCACAGCGATCTCGGCCTTGAAGCCAGCTGATATGGACATGCCAACCCAGTGCACCGCAACATCTAGCACCACAGCTGCTGCTTCTGTGGTCGCATCTCCTACGGCTACTGCTTCTCCCTCAGGCTATTAAGTGGAGCGTGATGTGGGGGCGTTATGAATGTGATGGATGGTGGTGGTGGACATTGACTGTATTTCTATAACTGGTTGCTTATTATGTAGCCGATAACTTTTATTACGCATTATCCCTTGGTTATTCCTTTTTGGGGGGGTCATTTCCTTTGTCATTGTATGTACTTTTAGAATTTACATTTCTGGGGGCATCTGTACAAAATTATTTCATTAAATTTCTACTTCGATGCAATCTCTGTAAAATGAATCAACTACATATTATTCTATTACTTTTGATCCTTTTGCACTTGTGAACCAACCAATGATTCTTGAGCGTCCCCAAAATGTAGAGAACTCAACGGCTCAAAACCTAACCCTGGTGATCAGATTATCTCTCTCTCTAGTCGGGAACGGCATCACGGTGCACCGACCAAACACGCCAAGACTACGGTCAGGAACGACCGGGGTGGTTACGGATATATTGACCGGGCCAGGTCATAGCTAGTCTTCATTGCACAGTAGTTCGCACGGTATCACATGTCCCCTCCTGTTGGTACAGATCATGACCGAATCTGCGCGTTTAAGATTAAGCTTCGTATTATTCCCTGAATACTCCCTTTCTTTAAGAATGGGGGAGATGCAGCGCGGAATTCACGTTGCGGCGGAACTGGCAGCCGAGACGGGGATGGATAGTACAGTCTGGTGTACCTTAGGGCTTACTTGAGCACTAAGCTTACAAAGAGCTCAACTATGGGGCTACGTGCCGTATTGGAATTTGGAGGTTGCTGTATGTATATACGTAGTTGTAATCGATAAGGGGTATGGCAGAGCTTCTTCCGGGTGGCGATTGCCGAAAGGTATGGAGATATATTAACTTGAGGTTGGTGTACGGGCAGTGTGGATTAAGACGTTAGTAGTGCTTGTTCTGGTGATTGGGCCTCGTTCCTGAGATGATGCTGGTCCTGCAGTACTGCACTGTCGAACATGCCAAATCTCGCAAGAGCCTGGAAATGGCCTTTAGATGGCAACGGCCTCTGATTCGCGCCTATTCCCCAATTACACCAAAATGAGCCACTCCTTGCAGCGTGTATATATTTCCTGGTTCTCCTTGCCTGTCTGCCCAGCGAGGATACCATGGCCTCGATCGTTGGATAGCCGCTCTGGGGTTTCATCTGATAGGCCCTGTCTCCCAACACTCCGTTGCAACTGGAAAGGGATCCTAGATTACCAGCGACAGGCCACACCTATCACGTCCACCGCCTCATCCAAAGGCCTCGTCCCTGTCAAGATTGCAGGAACATCCGAATTAACGAGCCAGAGAAACCGTGACCATGGGAACACGCGATTCGAGACAGGGATGACGTTCTAGCGTGGAGCTTAGTTCCAGGGACGAAGTGTTGAGCCGCACTAAAATCTCTTTCACTTTACTGAGTGGGCCAAATAGCAAAAAATAATATTGTTTTCACAGCAACATGGCGCAGCGGAAGCGCGCCGGGCTCATAACCCGGAGGTCCCCCGATCGAAACGGGGTGTTGCTATCAAGTTCAAATCGCAGTGAATTCACTTTTTTTCCACCGGAATTAGATTTTTTTTTATTTTTTTTTGACTCATCTCGATAATACAGTTCCTTCATTTCTATGGATAACAAATATACTAACCAATCCTCCAAGAATCATGAATCCATACTATCACTGGCTACAGCAAAAAATCGCATCCAATGGTACTGGATAGACCTGGCCTTAGCGCGTTCGGTGCAGAAAGAGGTGCTGCGTACCGGCAGCAATAACCGTAGAGCACTGGGGCTCTCAAGAAGATTCGTCATTATACTCTATTTCTCATTAATCCCTCGTGCATGGTGGTTTCAGTATTTGGAACGACTTCTCAAAATGGCGCCAAGACACCGAGATCTCGTGTCACCAGTTGTACAGCTACACAGCCACTCCCGTTATAAGTTTATGACCTGGATATTCTTATCAAGAAAGATGTAGGTATCAGCATACGTCTAAAGTTACCATACAAGCTTCAGTCGCATTGTGGGGAAAGTGCCTCCCCCACATCACTAAAGTACCTAAAATTAGGATCGATATCGTATCAATACGCCATTGGACCGGCCGATCGTGTGGGGGAATCAAGTGGTTCTATCATAGTAATATTCCAGCCAATACTACGATAGAACAGGAGCAGCTCTACGGCGGCTTCTTGAAGCAGAAAGAGGTGGCTTTATGTAGAATTCGTATTCTCATATGGGGTGGCCGGGTTTCGGTGGTTGTAAGTTGTCTACACGGCACCAACTTCAGGAGCTACTCATGGATTTAGCGGAAATATACTAGCATATCTGTATCACTTCTCGGTGTGGTCCGGTAGAAAAACCACGGCAGGTTCGAAGGACGGCATTGGGGTGCTTCGGCCCTGTTTACCTTTGGATTTATCCGCATTCTATGTAACACCATGGGGTTTACCGTGAAGTGCCTTTGGAGAAATATTAACGGAAGATTGGGATACGGCATATTGCCCCCACCATGCTGCATACGTTGGTAAGTGCAAAGTGCAAAGTGTTATTAGATTATTTATGGATTCTGAGGAGGATGGGTTTGCGCGGCCTCGATACAACGGCACAAGAACGCTTTGACATGACGGTGATAGTGACAGACAAACCTCACTCAGGTATCGAATAGACTGGACCTGTGCCCATAGCTCTCTCTAGAAACATGGTGCAATTGATCGACCTAGAACCTGGTTGGGCTCTCTTGTGCGAGGCCCGAATCTGAAGTGTGTTCGTAACGTTGTCCGGAGTGAGAATATCAATAGAATATATATCTATTATAGCCGCCCTTGATCGAGTTACTAAATCGGTAATGAAGTTTTCTTTAGAGGCTGACAAAGTATTGCATTGAATGATAGGATGTTGGGAGGAAAGGAAGAATAGAATCCTCTGATAAGGGAGGGTGAGAGAACACGTACCGTCTGGACAACATGGAGGTTGTCCGATGCTAACAAAAAAAATGACAAGCGGCAGAGAATGTGAATGGCTAAACGCTACATGCAATGTACTAGTAAAAGAAAAAGGGAGACAAGACTAAGTTATTGTACCGAGTTTCCTATCGTCTCGTCTCGTCTCGTGCCACACTATAGTTAAAATTAGAATAGTCAGCGTCATTTCCTATCACTCGGGACTTACCAAAGTGGCCTGAAAATATCTCGCATTGTGAAAAAACTGGTTTCTCCAGGTCTCTGGATAAGATATCCAGATCAGGTCTCGAAATTTCCAGTCCCACTTGCAAGGTTATTTGGAAGCCAGAAAATCAACAATTTCGTGTAGCGCCGGTATCGAGTGATGGTTTGTGAATCGGGCTCTTAATTGTAACCTTCTGGCGGTTCTAGAAAGCCCGTTTGTGCGCCAAGTGTCCTTTTCGCGATTGTGACAGATTGTCCACACATAAATGTGAAATGTCGCATCTACACGTGCCAGCTATGGCCAGGGAATTCAGGAACATGGCGTAAGTACACCATCCTCGAACATCCGTTCCAAGTCATGTTCCATCGCCAGACAGTAATTCTGAGCTTCATGTAGGAGTAGAAAGAAAATGAGAAAGAAGATTGAAGAAATTCATAAGTGTGTCCTCTATTTTGCAGAGAGTTTTGTTTTATTATGTATGGCCAAGTCCCAAACCCGAACCTCCATGGTGGGTAGAAGCTAACATCAGGAGCCTAGAAACAGCTCCTATCTCTCACCCTGTCTGCCCTCACGATGCACTTTATTTCATATCTATCCGTGGTACTCAATTCTCGTGCATGGCCTCATACGTTGCCTATTTGAATATGCCTGAATGGTCCATCTAGCATCCGAACGGACTTCAGCCGATAGAATTATACCACATAAAGGAAGGAATTATAGCTAAATGCTGCCTCGTAGTTTCTCGTATAATAATGGACAAAGTCTGTTCGGTGAGGCGGTTGAAAAGCCGAGTGAGTATCTATGATCCTATATATGAAAATCTTTTCTTCGATTCTAATGAGGGTGTAACGTATCCTAGAAAGCTACACACGGACTAGAGCTACATGGCATAGGAGTGATTGAATGGGCATGCACCGCCGGCCAGCGAATCCGGAATTTTCTATAGTCGCTAACCAGCGGCGGTGGTAACGTTGAATGTTCTTGGTACTGACCACCCAAACCTGTTTTAAGATTATTGTAGGGTCTTGGCAATTCCTATTCTCAAGACTGAAGAAATCTGGTGTCGGCTTTTGCTATGCAAAAAAAAAACTCTAAAGCAGATGACACGTGCGCACCCACCTCAATGATGGATATATATGCAGCAACAGCATATATGAGCTAGAGGTAGGCAAGAGAACTGATCAGCGGCGTTATACCGGACATGAGCAGGAGGCCAAAGTGGCTTTTCGAGTTTATTTCTTTAGCCTGGAGAATTACGCGAAGACCGATTCTTCCCTTTCGACTTAGTACTGGCGGGGTATATTGGGTGGGGAAGAGGAGAGAGATGTACCGTTATCTATACTACCCCGCCCGCCCGCCCGCCCTAAATCTGCGGGACTATGATAATCTAGCAAGTCAGATCAGCCGATGAGTCCCATGATCAGACTGGCCAGGGATGAAATCAAAAGAAATCAAACCTCGAACGAAGGGTTCGGGTTGGGTTAATCTTTTCAATTATACTCGGGGAGAGAGAAAAACTGGCGGTTTAATTTCAAACGCGATGGGGTAGGTAAGCGAGCCTGGGATTTTGGCAAACGAAATCGGATCTTTCCTTAGATGAACGAAAATTCCGATTCTTCATGAAGGGCGAGTGATGGCGTGTGAGTATTCCTTGGCTCTTGGCGCACCGGGCATTTGCTCTCTTGGTTCTTCGAGCAACCTGAGCGGGATTGGTGAGAACAGAAGAGTTGAATTGTTACCATTACTCTAAAGTGCTCTACCAGATTAGAATATTTGTGGCTTTCTGCGTGCATAGATATTGGGATATAAATTGTCTCAGACGGGACGTAGGATATGCGGTGTCGGGTACTAAAAATAAACAGAATGTCAGCTCGCTATGGCCCGCACCTCACTGGCCGTGGTGGCTTTCCCAACAGAACAAGAGAGCGGAATGAGGGAAGGAGAGAGAGAGAGAGAGAGGGAGGGCTATATATATAGTAAGCAAGAATTCCCTCTCTGAAGATCTTGCCCGATATTAGGATTTAGCGAAACATCAACGGTCGACATATATATATATATATATTCCAGGATGAGGGTTATTTCGGTTCACTGGATATCACTCGCGCATCTGTTGCGTCGCAATTCGTCTGCTAATGTGGGGAACGGAGGGTTCATGGGGGTTGGATTGTGCTATCGGGCGCACTGCTAGCTTTCCTCTCTCGATAGGCCCGAGCAGATGCAGTGCAGAAAGGTGGCAAGTGCAAATTCCCCAGACCGTCGTCGCACTTCTCATCACCAGATGTCACACGAGTACAAGTACAGACATCGCCAGCTCTCTTAATTCTTCGATCAGTGTGTAACTAGGTTTTATTTGTGCTCTCACTAACAAGCATTCATCTATCCAACATAAGAGAAACCCCATCACCATCATCATCAGCATCACGACCAGCCGATGACCCTCTCTCTCTCCCCCCCCAAACAAGAAGAAACCGAAAACTCCAGAGAGAAAGACCCGAGTAAAGACAACAAAAGAAAAGGAAAACACGGTTGTTTTCGTCTAGGTTATTCTATATATACACCCTTACAACTCCAACACCAGAACCAAAGGAAAGCGAAAGGAAATGAAAGAGAAAAGAAAGGGAGTGACATTAAGCTGGCGAAACCTCCGCTGACTGGATGTAGGTCTCGGAGTTGAAGGCGGAGGACTTTGGCTGGATCTCTGTGCCGGAGGAGGTGGCGTATCTACTTCTGGCACGGATTCGGGGACCGAATTTGTAGAAGAGGAGTGGGATTGGTGCGAAGGCAACAAGGAGACAGGCTAAGGGTTTTGTTAGCAGGAAGAAGATATCGAATGATGGGGATGAGGGCTCACCTAGTATAGTACCGGCCCATTCGGCACCAAGGTTGCCGTACATCTTTGGCATAAACAGCGGGAAGCCGAATGCAAACAGACACCTGAGGAGAGTGGCAGAAGCCATGCAAGAGGCCGACATATCACTGAGACCCACAGTTAGTCTCCTAATTCCAAGACAATATCAAAGCAGAAGATGAAGAGATACTCACAAATACGCCTCTCCCAGATAGCCGAGAACACACACAAACATGGTGACCATGCTCCATCCAAACGGCACTCCCGAAGCAACTGGCCACATCCAGTGCACATCCTTGAATCCAGTCCACGCAAACCAAAAAGCACTGATGGGTGCCACAACACTCGCTACAATTGCCAGCGGGAGTCTTCCCTCAGGGTATGCACCCATGATTCCCATGGCCTCACGTGCGTGGCGCTTCTTGAGGTAGAAGTGCTTGTTGCCAAGTGCGGCCGTGGGCAGCGAGAGGAGGACGCCGAGCCCGATGCCAAGGAAGGTGAGACCGGCAGGACCCTGCTTCCATCCGTAACGGCCTGAGAAGACGTATGGGTAGGCACCAAAGTACAGGAACCTATGATCCGTCAGTATCAGGCCATAGTAAAGAGAAGCGGGAAGAAGAGGGAGACTTACAAGATACCATAGATCAAACTCAGGTACATGCTCATCAAAAGTACAATCGGATCCTTGATCAGCAACATGATCGGCCTGCCCATACTTCCGAAAACCTCCCCCCACCCAGCCACGGCCTTGACAGCCTGCTTCTTCTCGATACCAGCGTCCATGCCGGGCTCCATGCTGATGTCCTTGAAGTTGACCTTCCTTGACTCACGCTCCAAGATCAGAGGGTAGAAGGTTTCCGGCAACCAGAAAAGAGTAAGCCCGAGTATCCCCGCTAAGATCATCATGAACCAGATGATCCAGCGCCATGATTCGAGGACACCACCGGGAGCGTACTGCGCTAGGTAGCCACCGGTAACGGGGCCAGCGACAGGACCAAGGAAGGCAGAAAGAATGAAGAACCCGAGAGGGATTCCGACTTCCTCAGCTATAAGATGATGAATTAATACTTGACTTTGAGGCGAAAGAAGGGTCGAGAACTTACTGGTATAAATATCAGTAAAGGACCCAGCAGCAACCGTCAATGCAGGTGACGCCAGGAACCCGCAGATGAAGCGGACAATGACGTGAGCCGCGAAGCTATCTGTGAGCGCGATGGGGATGTGGAGGATAAAGAAGAGGAACCAGGTTGGCCGGTAGATCCTGTTGCGGCCGTAAACCTCACTCAGAGGGGCAAAGACGATGGTTCCGCAGGCGATACCGAGAAGATATCTATTACTTTTCATTAGTATCCATCCAGGGAAGGAAGGAAGAGGACGATACTTACAAACTAAGGGAGAGAATGGCAGCAACCCTGGTGATCTTGAAGTAGGCTTCCATGTTTGGGATAGCAGGGGAAACTACTGAGGCACTCATTGTGACGATGAAAGTCATGACGGACATGATGGCCGAAATTTTTATCTCTTTTCAAGTCATTTCCATCAGCGTGAATTCAGATGAGAGAAATAGTCATCAACCCAAGAGATGATAGCTTACTCTTGCCATTTGGCCAGTTCCTCGGCGAGAGTACTGGGTCTACTGCCTTCTCCTCTTGAAGCGCCGGTAGCATCAATTGTGGCCCTTCATTGAGTGTGGTGTCATTGCTGAACAGCGAGTTTTGGGAACTGGCAATGGGTGTTGCAGTGGGGACGTTGAGTGTTGGTGATGAAGACATCTTGTCAGGTAAAGTCTCTATCCGTGTCGTTTGGGTGACTGGCTAGTTGGGTGACTGACTGATTAAAGAAGAAAAAAAAGAGCGTGTGGAGAGATGTGGTTTATATCTAGTACGCTCTACGTCTCTACGTATAATGGAAAATGCCTGGCTGTGTGGTTATCCTTGGCACGACACCCGCGAGTTACAAGAATGGCTACAATCAATATAGTATGTGCCTCTTGACTTCCCTGGTCGATATGAGGGAGGCGGAGACGCATAAGACATGGCATAGTAGAGCAGGTGTGTGGACCGCACCATCCATGACCACCCATCATCATTACCCACGTCCGTTGCACACCCAAATCGGGGACGAATATTAGATGCACCCGCAGTAGCAGCAGGCCCTGGCCGTTTCTACTAGCAGTACTCTACAGTAAGTGCCGCTGGCATGGATGCTAGTCTATCAATTCAGCCACAACAGCAACCAAACCCCAGACCAAGCCGAAGGACTGCTAGACATAGGAATGCAAGATCGATCCACGAATCTCGCTGGCTTCACATCACGTTCCATTCCGGTCTGGCTACGGATAAAAACACTCAGGATTAGTACGTAACGAGACTCCCAATTCTCGAATCTCTTCTTCCAGAAGGGCGCCAAGACGACCCCAAAAGATAGCCTTGACGCATGTTGCCCTACCGCCACATGTAGACATTGGCTACAGTACTAGTGGATTGAGTAAATACCAGCAACGGCCCGTCAAAGAACCAAAGCATCGGGACAACATGCCCATATCAGACTGTGCGGCTGAGAATAGAGAGCAGAGAAGGAGGCACGGAGGTGAGCGCTCTATGCAGGTTGGGTAGGTAGGTTCGTATGTGGTGCACCAGACGCCAATAGTACTTGCGACAAAGCGGTGGAAAAAAAATTTCAACCATTGTTTTGTTGTCTATATTCCGGCCCAGACTTTGGTCTGGATATTTTGCTGGTGGTGGCTTGATTACTCCGAGAAGCCCGACTCTCGCCAGGTCACATACGCTGCGCTACACTACTCTACATTTTTGTTTTTGCCTTCACGGTAGAGGACAGGGCAGAGGAGCCACATCAGAAACTTTTGTCAAAGATCGACCCATTGGTAGCGATATGCTCCCGCACGGGGGCTTTGAATTCTGGAAGAACGCCAGATGTCCGCTAGTTAATCTGACCATTCTACCGCTTTGGGATTGCTGTGGTGGATTTTGTGCTTCTAGGTTTCGCTGTGGAGGATTGATTAATCTGGTTTGAGAGAGAGAGAAAGTCAGTTAGAGTGGCACTGAGATGATCTACTCTAACGATGCCTGTGGCCGTAGGGTACAGTGCCAATGCAGCGGACGGGTACTTGTCCTGCGGCGGCGGCGCGGGAAGACGGACATGGCACATATAGAGTAGGCACGGATAAACAGGGGGGGTTTCGAGTCAAGATCAAGTGCTTGATGACGGCGCTCTTGAAAGTCTTGATTACCAGCAGTGCTAAAAATACGCACTTTGAGTATTCATGTCATTTACTAGTTGATGGGTTCATTCGGGATGAGGCTCTAGAACCGTCGTGCAGCGCCCACCCACGCCTCTCCCGCTCGTCTAAGATGAGCAGCGAGTTTCATGCGACTGAGCGAACCTTATCCACAGGTATAGACAGTAGACATGGCTTGGGCGGCAAGACAGACAGGTCGCGGGGGGTTGCACTTTCTCGTTGCGTAGAGCAGTGCCGGCAGGGTACGGGATTGACTGTCGTTGTAGTCTGTCTGTCCGTCGTGCCTGCTGACTGCGCGGGGGCAGGCAGGCAGGCAGGCAGGCAGGCAGGTAGGGTTTATCGGGAATCTATCGAGAAGGCAGTGGTTATTTATGGCATATCGATAGAACAGCTATAGCATTACCATTACTCTGCAGGCTGCATTTGATCGTATTGTTTATCTGCAGCCCCAATTAAGCGAAACATGCAAAACTCCCCAGAAAAGCAGGCATTGCATTGTAGGACTCAGGTAGCGATCGCATAATGATAACGGCGTGCAGTGTTGCATCTCCTATATAGCGGGCGACTATTGCCCCACACGCGGGGATCAATCCTGTCCACCATCCATCTAGTTGTAGATGCATCGATATCTTTGGAACAGAAACATGCAGCGTTGACGTCCTCACCGGCGAATCGGCAGCATAGCCCTAAGGTGCTGGTTTGAGCCTGTGCGCCGTGCATTGCACTCTGATCGGGCAGGTGCCGTGACAGTGACAGTGACAGTGACTAGTTCTCACGATGCTTTCTCTGCTCTGCTTGGAAGGTGTTGCTAAATTCAAGTACAGCACTTGCCCCTCTACCCCTGGTACCATGTACTACTCCAGCTGCTGTAATAATCTGTCTGTCTGTCTGACACCACACACCCAGCCTTGTGGTACTGTCGCACCGTTTCAACCATTATAATTATCCGATACACACTCTGCCCACATTACACACATTGTTGTACAGATTCCCGTCGTCACCAGTCAGCCAATGTTGACAGACAATTGGAGCAGGGCGAAAGCCACTAGCGGAATTCCACAGATCCGTAGAGAGGTATGGACAAGTCACTCGCGGCCAGCGCGCCAGCTAACAGCATTCCACTGCATTGGTTGATTCCACTCCATTCTCCGTCTAGCGCTCAAAGTCTATCCTGGTGGGTATGGGGGCAATTAAAGAGAGCAACCCTAACCCAGACCTACACCGCCCCCCAAGCGACTAAAATTGGCAGACGGGGGCCGGATGAGTAAACCGTGATGCGTGACGGATGCATGTGTTTAGCCGGGGGGGGGACATGGAGGGAGGCGGGCACACGTGGGTGCGTGGAATAACCTTATTTTGTGTGTGTGTGTGTCCGGTGAAGGAAGGAGGGAGAGCTGAGGGTGAGGGCGAGGGTGGTGTGAGGCGAGACAGAGGCGTGGGTTGCGGACTGACGGACGGATCAATCTTACTCCTCGCTGCTGGGGACGGGGAGGGCAAGTGCTGGCGGGGGTGGGGGGGGGGGAGGGTATATATGAGGGCGGGTATAGCTAGCTAGCCGTGGGGGTGCAGTGCAGGCAGAGAAGAGCAAGGTGCCGGGTACCTACATGTCCTGATCGTGATCGGGGATGCCGCGTCTGTTCACTTAGTCTAGAGATATGGCAGTAGGGAGTGCCGGGCTTGGGGTAGATGCGGTGCAGTGTACATAGATCGCGGGTCTCTGCTGCAAATGAGGACATGGGAACAAGTAGCAGCAGCAGTCAACTTCCTATCCGAGTAACGGCAACCCCAAGTGCGATTACGCTAGACGTTCCGCGGCAGTGCTTCTATAGAAGCAGCGCATTTCGCGCTTGGTCGGACGTGGTGCATTGGATGGATGCTCCTTCCCTCGGTCCGATTGATTCGATTTCGAGCCACACGCGGTGAGGAGGAGCTACGAGTGTATACTTTCGAGCTCTTGAGCTCTCTACGCGCCCGCGTTACATGGTATACTTGCGCTCTGCCAAAAAGAGGAGAAACCAATATGTGGGCCGCGGCTGGTGAGATCCAGCGGTACGGCAAGGCGCGCGCGGGGCGGGATATATATTGATCGTCAAAAACTCAAAACCTGCTGGCTGGCTGGTATAACCGCGCGTGCACGCCCGGTTTTACCGCTTGAGTACTTATAGCTACATAATCTTAATTTCCACCCGCCGCCGCGCCGGTGAGAGTAAAGTTCTGGTCCGGGGATCTGGGATTATAGAGTTTTGCACGTTCTGCTCGAGCGCCGGGAAGGGGGGATATCATAACGGAAGATTAGGACTAGGATGCATTGGAGTGGTCATGAGCCGAGTTCGACACGCACGGGAAGTCTGATTAGGGAGGGGGGGAGTGGTACCGGTGGGCGGATTGGAGAGTGAATTGAAAGGTTGTGCTAGCTCTCTACGGAGAGGTTGGGAAGCATATGGTGTCTGTAAATAATGACCTGGCCTTGGGACCGGTTCTCGGAGGATACAATGCTTTGATGGGTTCGACCTTCTGCCTTTTGGGTTTCTTTTCCGGCCTACTGTCTTTAATTGAAGGCGCTTTCGCAATTGCCTGTTTGTTATTATTCTGCGAGTGCAAGATGTACATGTTTACTTTGGATTTCATTTGTTGTGTCACAGCTGCCAGGCGTTATGATCATTAATTATAACTTCTTATTAGATTATCCCGATTAATTTTCATTGCAATTGACGAATGCAGGTCCTGTTTAGGGGGGGTTAATTGTTTAGAAGGTAAGGAGTCCTGTACGTTCCCCACGCTACGTAGCTACATATACCAATCGTTATGTTAGCAAATTCGCCAAGTAAGAAGGTCTCATTGGCGACAGAGCTTGGGGTACTTTTATTACTGCTATGAACTTACATACACTTGTCAATGGCTGCTTTTGCAGTCATTTCGTCTTGGTGTCGTCCCCTAAGTGGTATCTGTCATTTATAGGGATCGTGTGTGCATAGCTTGGCGCACAGCTACTCACTCGTGCCTGTTTCCATGTAGCAGCCGCCAACCACAGAAAAGAGGATGTCGGTCCTACTCCAATGCAAAGCTCCGTTCCTGGGCAGGTTCAGGCTTTGGGTCATGCGATTCGAATGGAAACATGCAGGGCGTGAAGCTGCGCGCCCCTCATTCGGCACTGGTAGCGAGCGCGGGTTTATTAATCATTCTGAATTTGATTTTACTGTTTATTGCTATACATGTACATACTCACGAATCCTATTTTCAGGTTTAATTGCATTGTCCTCTTCTTATTCCTCAACAAAATCACCCGCGAGCAAGTATTAATCCCGACCGGTTTGACGGCTCTCGCATCCCACGCAAGTATCATTTCCCCGCCAGTCTCGGTGTTGGGCTTGAATTCCCCCGACGTTTTGGCTCCAGCTTTCGTTCCTTTAGATTCCCACGATAGACAAGCCCATGCCCAGTGCCCTCCTGATCGCCAAACGGTCGCAAATACTCTATGTGCTACACCCCACAGTGCACTCGCTTAGTTCCCGGCTCCGCTCCGTCATATCATCTCTGTAGAGCACATACATATCACCACCACCACCACCGTTATCAGGAATAAAAGCCAAAACGCCCCTGGGTAGAGCGCATTACGTACTACCGGCCAAAGGGGCGGGGCGTCCTTCCGCCCGTCAAGAAGTATTCTCCGGAAAAAGTGCCGGTTGGGATTGCATTGGGTAGGGGAGTGAGGCTTGAGATGTGGCGGTTAGACGAGACATAGGACATCACTCGCTCCAAAGAAATTGGGTTACGGTGGAAATATAATTTTTTCGTTAGAACGACTGGCTAGTATAGGTATGGGGAAGTGGGCTTTGGTACTTATAGCCCTGTGTATGCGTATTTATTGCTCATGACTGTGTGGAAATATTCGGTGGAGGTGATAACCCTAACCCAGATCTCGATATTGGTGCAGTATATATCCCACCTTTGAAAAGCGAGGGATAAAGAATTCAGGAGAGTGGAATAGGGTCGAGCCTGCGTGCCTTGTAGTAACTTCGGTAGATGAACCTTTCTGTCATGAAGAATAGGCGTAGTGTGAGTAAGCACTTGGAGGTGAGTCATCGAGAAGTCTCTCGCTCAATGATCATGGGTCGACACGCATTGCAACGGACGGAGAGGTAGGGACTTTGACTATGGGTTGGGAAGATGGTAGGACTTGAGTTGTAGCTTGGGAAAGGGCGATGAGGGGTGCTATGAGGTCTATGGTTGTTTGAATACGTTATAGCTTTTAGATAGAGGCACCAGTTTCTGCTTGAGGTGTTGGTTCTGGATTTGTCTTGGGTCAGTAAATCTTAATAGAACGAACTTGGCCTATCGTCATAACTAACGTCTTTGTATCAAGGCTATAGTCAGCTCCCTTAGCCCTGATGACTGTAACCTCTGAGGACTCCCGAAGCGCTAAGCCCAATCAAGAGCTGAACACAAGGATTTCGGGAAACCAGACTATCACGAGCAACAGGTAGAGATAATAATAGGGTATCTGAGTAATAATCTGAATTTAGTGATCACCAGAAAGCGTTGATATCAAGCCCTGATGGTCTAGTGGTATGATTCCTGCTTTGGGTTCTCTTGAATGCAGGAGGTCTCCGGTTCAATCCCGGATTAGGGCCTGTCAATTATCTTTTTGCATCTGGGGGTGATGGAGGTGGATATGGGGCGCACCCGCGTAGAATCAGTGCACTTGGTTGTGTGCATAATACACCTTAGTTCTGCAAACATCTCGAGGTGGGTTTCGTTGGGTGTTGACCTATTTTATTTCCTGGATGCTATTGGTTTTTGTTTTAGTTGAATTTGTAACGCTAGACCAGGGGGGTAGAGACGCTAGGCAGAGAGGAAATTGGTTGTCAAGGGAACGGAAAAAGACTCGAGTGATAGATTGTGACTCCAATTCCATTCCCTAGGCAACACGACTACGCAGTTTTTTAAATATGGTGACATTTCGGCTTCGCTGCTTATGGTAAGAGTTATCTGAGGGTTCTAATCGATCCGTGAGGATATTATTGTATAATATGCAAATATTCGCAAAAATGGTAGTGTGGAGTGTAGTGAAAGAATATGTCGTTTGGGTGGAAATTAAGGGCCCAGAAGACAAAAAATGTGATTCATTGAAACGGCTTAAAATTTGGCAATGGCTAAGTAGTTTAGATGTGTATTCAAGAGATGGAAGCGGATATTTGCGTTTATCCCCGACTCCATTACAGAAAACATTCCTAACGATACCCCCTTGGATCTATAGAGTGGGTAAAAGGAAATAGTAGTTTAGTAAGCAAGAGTTAGGAAGTTAGAAGTGGTGCGATGGGATCATTCCCCTTAGGAGCTACCCCCTTTATTGTCCTTCGTTTGTGGCATCTAAAGCTAGCTTAGGATTGGTAAAGTTCAGTTGTCCATCGTGCCTCATCCCAAATTTACACCCTACCAAAATAGTAACCTTTACTAATACGAGTGGAATGCAGCCACTGGTCGCAAATTCGCTAATGCTTAAGAGAGTGAAAAATACTGTCTAATCTATTTACGACCTCTGAGTGGATATCGCAATGCCCAACCCATCTACGAAGCGAATTATCCATGATATCAACAAAAGCCGGCGCAAACTACCGACTTATGAAAGTGGATGATAGCTATGTCCCTTCAGAACCCGGGAGCAGCGATTTGTCTAGTACATACACATAGCAGTCCTGGTAGAAGAAGATTAACCAATG